ATGAATAAAAAAAGATTTATTATTCAGATTAAATAAAGTTCAAGATTATTTCAGTTTGTCTTTTAAACATTATGTAAATGAATATGATAGAAAAGTATATATATTCGAGGATATTTGTATAGTAAAAGATGATGATGTTACGAACTTAATTTTTTTATTTTAATTTTTTATTATTTTAATTTTTTTTTAATTAATTTAGTTTGATTATATTTTTAACTTATTATTTAATAAAGAGTTAGTATCATTTTAGTTCTACCTTTCTTTATTTGACAACGGTTCTAATCTCTCAATCCTTTCAAAAACTCGCAAAATGTTACACTAACCAGCCTTCTCTATGTGAAATTCAAAAAATCTTTTTAAAGCTTAGCCAAAGGTATTTTGACATTTAAGTTTTTTTGGTTTGGTAATACTTGTAGAAAGAGATGGTACAATTTCTATTTTAATATACTCATTAAATAATGAGTCAGAATTCATATTAAATTCTGCACATAGGCTTAGCTGGAGGGAGGGGGGGGGGATAAAATCCAATTATCAAATTGTCTGTTCTCACAAATATCCTAAACTAATAAACATCCCCCCCCCCCCATATACATCACCACCAGTTAATTTTTTTAAATAACGACTATATTTCAAAATTTTTTTAAAAAAAGTGAAGATCCAAAAATTATTTTTATAAAAATATAACATAGCCAACGGCCTACAATAAGAAAACTCTACATTATAGTGCTTTCCCCATAGCAAAACCAAAGCTACACCTATGATTTTGTATCTGTTTAATTTTATTTATCAATTTTTAATTGCATAAAAAGACCCACACGCATACAGAATCAGACATTTAAATCAAAATTTTAAATTAGTAAGTTTAATTTTAAAATTAAATTTATTGTAATATGACACATTAATTAATAAAATTAATTATTTGAATATATTTATAACAATACTAGCTAATAACCCGTCAAAAATGACGGGATGGTATACTAAATATGCTATATATTAAAATTTAGGAGAAAAAGAGATAAAATTGTTGCAATGTAACTCGTCGTCAGTATTAAGGGTATTTAGAAATATCCAAATTTAAATTTGTGATAGGAATCATATTGGGTAAAATTTAAAAATAGAGATGCTTCAAAATTGTTGAATTTTAAATATGGGCTAAGACATTGGTCTCAAAATTTTGTTTTGCAGACACAGCTAGGTCTGATCAAAAAACCACGTCCCATGCAACTTTCCCAAAATTTTGCCATTTATTTCTATTGTGTAATTTAATAATAATAATGTCTTAAATTTTAATTTTATATTTAGAATAAAATTTAAATTTGTGATAAAAATCATATTATTGAATAAAATTTAAAATAGAGATGCTTGGAAATTTTTTAATTATAACTATGGGGTAGATATTGGCCTGTAATTTTTTTTTGCAAACATAGCCAGGCCTGATCAAAAAACCAGGTCCCATGCAACTTTTATAAAATTTTGTCACGTTTAAAAAAAATTTCTTATGTCCTTAATTATTATTTGACTAGAATTTTGAAAAATAATAGGTAAATATTACGCCGAGGAAGACCTAAAATCGAAATTAATTGATAAAATAACTTAGTAAATGAATGGCGATAATTAACTATATATTTAAAAAGAAAGAGATGGGAATAAATATTTATTTTTGATATATATCCGGCATCTGCATTTTTTTGGCTTTGAGGAAAGAGCTTGTAACTAGGGCTGGGACCAATACCAATATAATATTGGTTTACAATACCAATACCAATATAAACCAATATATATTTAAATATTGGTATTGCTTTTACAACCAATACCAATACCAATTACCTAAATATATTGGTTTTGATATATTGTTTAAATACAATTTTAACCAATACCAATACCAATATTAAAAATAACATAATTATTTGGGTTTATCGTGGATAATTATATCGTGGTATTTTTTTTACTTTCATTGCAAAAACTGATTACATCTGTTATTTCTTCCAAATACTACTGTGATATCAATATTTCTGTTATTTATAATTATAGTTTATTTTTATTATGGTATTAAATTTTTTACATGATATCTATCAATTTTATCTATTTATTTAGGATATTATAATAAATGAAGACCAAATAGAGTTAATAAATATAGATGCTGTTGGTACTAATAATAATAGCGATAAGGAACAAGAAGAATTATCAATATCTAATAAAAGACGAAATTCAGCAAAAATGGGAATTTTATACTACTTGTGATAATAAAAAAAAAGGCAATTTGTAATAAATATTAAAAAAAAATATCACTTCCCAATTTTGGAACCTCAGGATTATGGACACATCTTAAATCCATCCACCCAACATTATATAAGAAATGTGAGCAAATAAATATTGGCAGTAAAAAAATTAAGACAATAAAATCATTTTTACTTAATAATATAAATAATAAAGCTAATTTAAATAATTTAATTATAAACTTTTTCATTCAAAATAATTTAGCCTTTTCAATAGTTGAGGATATCACTTTTAAAAATTTAATAGCATATTGTAACCCTTCACTAACATTAGTTTCTAAAAAAACACTAAAAATAGAAATTATGAAACATTATCATAGTTCTTTTATCAATTTAAAATCTGTACTTTCTAACATTACATCTAAATTTTCCTTAACAATAGACATTTGGTCCTGTCCAAATAAAATACCCTTTATGGGCATAACAATTCATTATATTGATAATGATTTTAAATTAAATAATCATTTATTAGATTTTATTCCTTTTAAATCAGCACATAATTCTATTAATATTTTTAATATTTTTAATTCTGTATTAAAAGTAAAATTTGAAATTGATTTTTTTACATTACATTAGACAATGCAAGTAATAATTTAGCATTTCTAAAAATTTTAAAACAAAAAGATAATTTTGATAATGTGTGCAAATGCTTTTGCTATATTATACATTTGGCTGTCATGGCTGCATTGGAACCTTTAAATACAACGTTAAAAAAAATAAGAAATTTTTTTAAAATTTTTAAACTTTCTATATCTAAATTTAATAAACTCGAAAAAATATATCTTGAAAAAAATCCACACTTAAAATTTCCTCACCCAATTTTGGATATACCAACACGTTGGAATTCAACATACCAAATGCTTGATAGAGCAATATTGCCCAAACCCTATTTGACAACATATACCAATCATTTACAAAATACCAATCAAGAAAATTATATTAGTGCATTAGCCTAGAATAATATAGAAATATACCGAGAATTTCTGGAATCATTTGATATTGCTACAGAGATGGCCTCATGTGCTAATACTCCAACAATTTCAACAATAATTCATTTATATTCCAGTATTTTTGAGCATGTGGAGAATTATAATAATAATCCTAATTCTATTTTAAAGACAGCTTCTTTAGATGCCTTAACAAAACTTAATAAATACTATAATTATAATAAACACCTCTTTATTATTTCAACAATGATTGACCCAAGATTTAAACTATCAAGTCATTTATTAAAGTATAATAATATGCAAACTCTTATTGGATATCTTACTAATGAATACAATATTTATAAAATAAATAATAACAATTCAGCGGAACTTACAAATGAAGCACAAAATAACAAAAAATTGTCCTTTTATGACAAAATTTATCAGGTGAAACCTCATAATAATAACAACTTAGAAATAAGTAAACACGTAGATGAAGCCACAATTTCCAATGATACAAATCCATTAGAATTAAATAAAAATAGATATCCAGTATTATCAAAAATTGCCAGAGATTATCTAGCAATTCCGGCCACCTCATCTAGCTCTGAAAGGGCTTTTTCAGAAGGACGGTATGTTATAACAGACCAACGTTGTTCACTAAATGAGCATACTATACAAGCTTGCCTGTGCCTAAAAAGTTCGATGCGCATGCAAGATTCTTCTTAAATACATAAAATTATTTCCTCTTCTTATATTAAAATTATATCATTCTTTTGCATTATATTTTGTATAAATAGACAGTTATGTTACATTTTTAGTTTACTTATTTTGCTATGTTCTTTGTGATAAATAAAATGGTTCAAAATCAATACGTTTATTATTGTTGATACAAAAAATACATGATTAAAACAAAATTTTTTATATTCACATCACCTAATAAATTCCTAGTTTAAAAAAAGAATTTGAATTCAGTAAAATTTTGAGAGTTGGTTCTTAGCCCTGATTTTATGGTATCATGATTTTTTTTCCCATGTTTATTTAAAATTAGAAATTAAGGGTTTTATAATCACTATTTCTATTCTTTTAATTAGTAATTTGAATTTAAACCAATACCAATATAAACCAATAGTTACCAATATAAACCAATACCAATAGCAATACCAATACAAGAAATAGAAAATATTGTTTAAACCAATACCAATATTTTAGACCCAATACCAATACCAATACAATATTTTGTTAATATTGGGTTTTTACTATTGGTTCCCAGCCCTACTTGTAACTACATAATCATATATATTGATAATGATGCGATAAATTTATAACAAAATATTTCATTATTTTTTTTTCTATTAGATCTGCGGAAGTGGAAAAATCAACCCTATATTAGCTTTAGTTGAAGCCTACGTTAAGATGAATATCAAATAGTGCCAGTTTTTTCAAGTTGTTCGAAAAAATAATTGTTGATTTTAGCATTTTGATCTTTATTGTTATCACTTTAAATAAAATAAAAGTTATATATATATTTTATAAAATTGAGAACCCTCTAATATTTATCCATTTTTTTTTATTGATTTTCGATACCAAATTTTTATAAATGATAAAAATACAATAACGAAGTGATTTTATATATAAGAAATTTTTTTAAAAAATATTTTTTTTTAAATATATTAATTAGAAAAATCGTTTTGATCCAATAAATTGCACGATAAATATTTTGAAAAAAACTATTGAAGAGAAGAGAAGAGAAGAGAAGAGAAGAGTTGATATCTATATAATCTAGAATCGAGGTGTGGAAAAATTGAGTGCATAAAACTTTCAATGAATTTGTTAATTTTTTTTAGAAAATATGTGGATACGCGAAAACTTATATAATATTATGTATACTTAAAAATAGATACATATTCGAAAAAATTGAATAATAATTAAAATCACATAAGATATTAAATTTTTTTATAACGCGAGTATGAAATTAAATACGAAGGAAGTATTATGTGAGGATAAAAAGAATGTAACTAAACAAACGTTAAAATCAAGTAAAATATTATTTGGACAAATGAACCGAGAGAATTCCTTTTTATTCGACAAAAAATTCGAATAGAAATTTTTAGACACAATTATGGTTCCTTTTTGGGAACTCAATTATAGAATTTTATTTTTAATTATAAAATTAATTATAAATTTATAAATTATTAATATTTTTAATTAGGTTTTATGTAAATTAAATAAGATAATATACGTTAATGAAATTAGTTAGGTAAACAAAAAAAAATAAAAATAAATAAAATTATATAAACAACGGATGCATAAGTTTTGATAGCGATAGGTACAAAATCTAATTTATAGGGCCTAGGGCAACAATGAGATATTCTTGGGGTCAGTATCCCTAGAAAGATCAAAATTTTCGTTATTTCCCCTCATCTCTGGACGTGCCCATTTTGCCATTTGCACCAATGGAGTCTGATCCGGGTATCTTTGATCATGTGAACAAGTGTCGGATTCGCATGAAATTTGATTATTGATTGATATTTTAGCGGGCTTGTAATAACGTGATACAATAAAATGATATTTTAAATAGCAAAGTAAAATATATCGTGTCTTGATGCACTGTTCTATATATTTTTTTTTATAAATTAACGCCTATTTACTTTTACCAAGCAAAGAGCATCATCGAAATTGAGAATGAATCTAAACATGACAAAATAATTATGGATTACATCCAAAATGGCTTTGTTACGATATCTTTGGCCGATCATGACAACACCATCATCCTCACCATCAGATCCTATTCTAATGCTGAATTTATCGGGTGCTTGAAAGTGGGGTTTATTTTCCGATTTAGAGCTTTGATATATTTAAACATATTTTAAAATCTTTTTAACGACTCCCTGGTAAATGTTCCTGCAATTTTTTGGGGAAAAGGCAGGGACCTGCGGAAGTACCGATTGCATGGCCCGGCCCTGTAAATTTTTTTTGCCCGGTCCAAGTTTTATATTTTCAAGCCCGGCCCGAATACTAAAAATTTTACGATCCCGGGTTTATCGTAAAAAATTGGGTCGGATTTTAAAAAATTATACGGTATTTGGCATTTTACGGTTCGTGTTTCAGCTAATATATCATTTAAATGCTATTTAAACTTTACTTTAAAACTATAAATTAATGATTATTTTTTTCAGTTATTAACAGAAAAAGTGTTGAAATAAGTAAGTGGTATACATTTGTTTATATTTTAATGCAATATAAATAAATCATTGTTATTTGTGATAATTTATGTCTAAACATTTATGTATTAAACAAATAATTAAAGTAAATTATAGCAATTGCAACCAATATATCATTTAACGACAACCCAAATATGAGAATTTTCTGATTTCCCTCGTTACTCAAATTTAAAAAGTTTTCCGTACCCTTCAGGAAGGGATGCAGCGGCGATTCAGTAGGTCCCTTGCTCTTTGTATGTATGTATTCATGATTTGATCAAAAATCTAAAGGATGATTCCAAATAGATTTTTGGGGACTCTAGTACGTTGAGATGGAAGTTTCTTAAAATTGATCTTTCCTTAAATAAAAAAAAATGCTTGAAATATCCTTCATCAACAATGAGGACATTCCCTCCCCCAGACTTTAAATTCGTTCCCCAAGAGGAACTGTTATTTAGGCTCTCCTATCTGGTTTTCAAATTCCTTTTGTCAAAATTTTTTTGATTCACTTTTTAATCGCTAAAGAAATCTTCATGACCTAAAAATGCTTTTTCTTTACCGAAATTCTTCCACATCTTTAAATCTTCCTTGGCCTTATAAGTTTTTAATAAAATTTAAACATTTCATCAAATCCTTTCTAGTAGTCCTAAAGCTTTCTTATTTTAATTGGTCCATTTTGTCAGCTTTCAAAGAGAGGTTTGGATTTTCACCTCCCCCCCCCGGAAATGGCAATTGCTTGTTTCCTTTCATCCAGCATAATTTGACTCATTTTGTCGCTTACTGAGTTAAACACGATCCACTTCTAGATACGGCTAAACTATCTTGGATTACGTTAGTTCTCCAAGGTTCCGACGACTCCGTTTCCAGCCATATAAAGAGCTTAACATCCTATGTTTCAATGTGCATTTGAAAAACTTTATTTGCCTCTCTCAAACAAAAAAACTCAAATTGAAATCTTGAAACACTTTACTTTTGTTAGGGTTTTTTTGAAGCAGGGTTTGTACTTTTCCATTTCGGCCAGACATGACGTTTGCACATCATATGCCTCGTTTATTATATTCTATGAATTGACATTTAATTCAATAAGTTGTTTTGAAATTAGTAATGATTTCAGCAGAAAGACATTGTGAATTAATGATTCCTATTAAATATTCTTGGATTTCTCTACAAAAAAAATATAATAAAAATTATGGTCATGTTTTCACAACTTGTTTTTTAAATTTGTATAAATTAAATAAATAATGTTTTCTATATTTATTTTGTTGCATTTTTACTTTTATTTTAGATTTAATCTTTAAATAAAAAGAAATATTTATTTTCAAATTTGGAGGGAAATTTTTTTTTTTGAGGGGCCTGGTTTGGAGACCAAATTATTTTGCCTCACCCGTCACCTATAAGATAAATAAATGCCCTGTATTTTTTTTAAAAACAATATGTTAGCTATGTTTAAAATTTGTTATTTAAATTTAATATTTAATCTGTAATATTTTTACTAATATTACAATGCTTTCTTATATATCACAATATTATATACAATTTATTTCTAGTTTTTCTAGACTACAATTCCTTATTATTGTTTTATAATTTACATTACATTTTTCTACTTGTAATACAATAAACATTACTACAGTTATTATGCCTATATTATATACCTATTTGCATATTTTATAAGTGTAAGTAATACATTAAAATAAAATAAATAGAGATTATTGGTAATTAAACTAAATTTTAAAATAAAAGTATAGGAAATGTATAGATTTTTCAAATAATAATACTATGCTACATAGTAATGCCGCGACTTGTTCGTTTCCCATAAACCCCAAAATAAGGGTCTTCTTGAAAACATATTAAACCATAAATTTCCCAATTCATCTTGGCTTCAAGCCATCCTTCCCAGCAAGTCTGGTGGTATTGGTATCCGATCCATGATATAACTTTCCCTCTCAGCCTTCATCTCATCTCGTCTTGCTGCTCAATTTATCATCGAAGAAAGAAAGAAAGAAAGAAAGAAAGAAAGAAAGAAAGAAAGAAAGAAAGAAAGAAAGAAAGAAAGAAAGAAAGAAAGAAAGAAAGAAAGAAAGAAAGAAAGAAAGAAAGAAAGAAAGAAAGAAAGAAAGAAATAAATAAATATAAAACTGACCTCTCGCAGGCCTTCACCTTTTGGGACAGCAACTGCTCACCCACCCTTTGTCGTCCCGCTTCCAGCATCAAAAAGACTGAGATGCTCCTCTAATTGCCCGTTCCGTTGAATACCTTATTTTGAACAGGACCTTTGAGGACAATCCCAATAATTTAGTATTATATGCAAGCTCAGGTTACGAATGGCTGGAGGCCATCCCCAGTTCCAATCTTGGCCTCCTCTTGACTAGCGAACAGCTATGCATTTTCATAGCCCTCCTCCTTGGCTGTAAAAGTGTGGTTCCCTCCATTTGCATTGACTGCGGCCATCCCATAGAATCGTAGGCTTACCATCCCTTGCACTGCAAGTTCTTCCATGGACGACAACCGCGTCATATATCTATTAACAATCTTCTCCTAGCTGCTCTTAAAAAAGTTATATTCCATCCACCCTCGAACCAGTGGGCCCCTCAAACGAAAACGCCATACGCCCTGATGGCATATCTCATTTCCTGGACCAATGGTCTCCCACTTGCTTGGGACTATACCTGTGTTGATTTTGCCGCCAAGTTCAACCTCCCATTTTCTGCCATCGAAAAGGCCGAAATTCTAAAAAAATAAAATATGCTTGCTTTACCAACAACGTGTTGATCTCAATCGTTACCAATACCCTAGGCATGTTCGGAAGTGATGCTCTCAATAGGAAAAAATATGAGACAGATCTCAGGGGACCCCAATGAAGGATTTCACAGATTTCCCTGGAAATCTGCCGTCCAAATTTTTAAGCATTCACTCTTCTCTATGGTGATTTGCACCGTTTTTTAAAAAAAAAAATTTTTTTTCCCTCAGTTCTTTTATATATATTTTTTAATTATAATTTGTAAAAGAATAATTTGTGAAAATTTGTTTTAAACAAAGTATTTATCTAATTCAAATAATCAAAAATATTTTAAAAAAGTGGGGACACGGTTTGTGAAAAATAATAAAAATAGGAACAGTAAAGATAAACTGCTTCAAAAAATTGGCTGGCATCATAAATAAATACGCATTTTAAATTCGTTCATAATAATATTATATTTAAAATTAGACGCGAAATAAAAAAAAAAATTCTGCCAATACATTTTCGTGTGTGAAATATTTTATATTTAAAAAAAAAAACGAATAATCCGAATCAAATATAAACAGAAAATTTTGTATATTCGTATCGTATGAATAATACCAATAATACACTAATCGATTCTTATAAAGTCTATCGTTCCACATTTTAAAAATCGGACCGGGCTCGAGCCTTAAGCAAGCAGGACCTTGCTTAGAACATAAAAAATTTCTAAAATTAGAAAATTAGAATAAAAAGTTGATGAACTTCACTGGTGTTAGGGTCAGGGTTCAAGGTAGAACCCGGAACTCGAATCTCAGTTTTCCACCCCAAGATCGAACCCGGTTTCAAGAATTTTGGTCATTTTACGATTAATTTCTAACAAAAGTAAAAACCGTTAGGTTACATCCAAACTTGATTTTTTTTTTATATTTTACTCCTAATGCATTATGATACATCTGATTAACTTGATTTATGGGCCCATTCCATGTCAAATCGATCAAAAAAAGGCACATTTTTGGCCGACCCCATTTAAAATTGTTTAAAAATTTCTGGAATTATTTAGATGGGTATATAAATGAGAAAGCCGTTTATTTTAGCTAGCTAGCACACCTGGTTCCGCCACTTTGGAATCTGTAAAATTTTTAAAATGCTTTATATCTCAATAACTATTTGTAGTAAAATAATGTATAATATATCATATTGTAGGTAAAAAAAAAATCCCTAAAGGGCTATCAAAAATATGATATAAATTGGTGCCAATTGGAGTCTTTAACTTCCGGTTTACCCGTCTTGCTTCACCTGTATTTTTAAGCAAAAAAGGGAGTTTGTTTTCGAAATTTTTTTTTGCTTCTTATTTAGACAAAACCATAGCGACGTTATCGACTTTTCCGAAATATACATTTTTACCAAAAATTGAAGAAAAAAGTAGATGGCGCTAATGGTTGAAAAATACTATGTGATAAAATTTTTCAGTTCTGCTCCCCCCCCCCCCCATCATCTTTAAAATGTTTTACATTTTTTAGACCTCTACTTTGATACTATAGCGAATGACTTATTAGCTCGATAATGTATAACAAAATTAGCGAACATTCCTTATACTTCAAATGACAATGTATATAGTGATTCTCCAATATCCTTACAATCAAATGAGGAATCTCTCATTAAAAGAAATAGCTTATGTGAAAAGCAATATTTGATGAAAAAAATATTTAGAGTAAAAAAAAGTTTTAACGATTAAAATTATATACCATCATCTTCATCAAAATATGAAAAATTCGATGAAATTCTAGATACCTTAAAAATTATATGAAAGATAATTATTATTGGAAATTTGTTACATTATTAAGTGTCTAATGGGCATAAGCCCACTCTACTCCTCAAGTTTAATTAGTATATTTAAAAATTCAAATTTTTTTTTAGTATAATAAGTGAAAATATCCGGTTATTGATAAGTTAGCAGCAAAAATTTTACCGATAATTTGTAATTTCATAAAGCGCCATCTATTTCTTTCATCATTTTTTGGGGATGCCAATATTTTATGGTTTATTAGTGTCTAACCACTATAGTAGCCAGCATAAATAAAAAAATTTAGTAACAAAATTTTGGACAAATTTATGATTATCCCCAAAATATTTTTAAAACTCAGCATTATTCTGAAAATTTTATCAATGTTTAGTAAATTGTAAATTAAATCAATCCATTCGATGTAGAAAGAAGAAAAAAATTGCCCCCCCCCTAAACCTCCCATTTTTTATGATCACTCAATATGTTTTATTCTATGTTAAAAAATAATTATTTTAATTAAATTTTTGCATATAAAAAAATTTTGCAGAGAATTTCGTTATAGATTTTATTTATTATTAAAATACTTTAGTTTAAATAATACACCCCTTTATTTAACTATGTATTTATATTTTAATGATAATATACATATAAAATAAATATCAAATGTATAAATTTTATACAGATTATATTAAAAATTTATTCAAAATAACTATAACTATATTTAAAAAAATTACAATAAAATAGAGTAATTCTTATATGGTATTTTAAAAAAAAATCTAATTTAACAATAATTAATACAAATGAGTATATTAATAAAACATAAATAATTCTTATTAGAGATCTGCAAAAGTAGGAAAATCAGGTTCGGCCCTAATATTTTTTTAAATATATCTAAAACGGTCTTCACCGGTGCTATTTCTTAAATAGGTTTCTAACCTTTTCAAAGTTGAAAAAAACCTTTCATTAAAGCAGGTGCTAATCGGTAAGGTAGCTAGGAATCTAAAGTGCAATTACACATGGAAAGGGTCTGAAAGCATTTTTTGGTCTTAAAGAGTACTCTATTCTGTCAAATTTATACCAAAATTCGACATCACAAAGTAACTTATCATAACGATCCTGATAATTCATCAGAATAAAACTCTGAGATTTTTTAAATATCCTCTCGCGTTTCAAGTGTATTCGACTCTAGGTTTAAAAATTTTTAATCCCAAAACATATTAGCGAATGCCTTTACTTTCTTAATTAAAATTTTTAAAACTTTCTAATTAGTTTAACAATATAAATTTTATTATTTAAATTTATAAATATCTAATTTAACTATGCCAGAAAAAATTTACAATATATTTTTATTGTTATTTAATATTTTACATAAAGTTTTTAATATAAAACCATGTAAAAACAAACTTCGTTCATGAAACGCGTTCGTTTACAAGACTATAAAATAGTTAAGTAAGGGGTCAATGAGGGTGTTTAATAAGCAAAGGAAATTAAAAAATTAGCAATTATTTTTAACTAAAAAAATTTTCAGTTAATTTAATTTTTAATTTTTTTATTTTTTTATTTCTTTAAAATTAAAATATTCCCATGATACAAATCTCATCACGTATTCAACTTTTATAGCTTGAGAAAAAGGGGAAATGTTGGAATTTATGAATGTAATTTTTGCTCAAAACATTTTTTTTTTTTCTCCAAGTAACAAGCAGTCTAAATTATCTTTAAACCGTGCAAGATGAATAAATGTTCTAGAAGATACTGACATTTTACTTCTAACATCAACATCATGAGCATGTATCGAGCCCTCACCTAAAAACCTGATTAATACTTATTTATCCCGGACCTCGAGATCGAACCCTAATCTGGATCGTGTCTGCCTGGACTCTTGGCGAAAGCTCCCATTTTAAATCATTTTAGAACCTGGACATGTACCAAATTCCTTTTTTTTTTAAATTTCGAATCCGGACCTATGCCAAACAGCTGTAAATTTTGTCGGGTCCAGAGAACCCAGATTAAGACAAAAGTGATTAAGAATATTTATGTATATTTTTTTACTCGTAATCTTGAACTGCCCATTTATCCGAATGATTTTGATGAGAATGATGTTGTTTTTGGGGGATGTTTGGATTGGTGCCCGAAACTGGGATCATTTGATTCTCCGATACGTTGATAGCGGAAGCTGACGCGTTTGTTATGAACTTTTCCTTAGCTAGTGATTTCCACACTGCCGTTCGTTCAATTTCGCGGGTAATATTCATGGTGTCGGTCAAGAATGACACCTGTGGTAATTTATTTCTGACTGTAATTTTTTTTTTTATTGAGAGGAGAAAAAATAATTTAAGAAAAAAAAAATATAGTTTTTTAAAGCAGTAGTGGTCCAAAATCGTAATTTCCTTCTGACAAAGGTAACCCTTAAATTTTAAATGGTGCTATTAGTAAAAGGATTAGGGCTGTGCCCTGGTTAGAATTATTTTTGATATTTATTGCTATTTGGGCCCAGACTAAACTGCTTTTTAACTAGGGTACCCTATATCTTTTTTTGTTAATTTTTTTAGTTATTTCCATCACTCATAGTTTCTCCTCTTACTATATTGATATATTATATATACAGTCTTTATCTATAAAATTAAATGAGTGACATAATTAAATCTAAATAGTCTTTTGACATTTTAGAACTGTTTAGAAATAAGTCGAACCAGGACACAACCTTAAGGATAAAAAAACTATAAATCAAAGTTGAAAATTTTTCTAAGCAAAAATATTTTTTATAAAAAAAATTGTGATATCACCTTGAAAGATTTTTTTATAATTTTATATCAAAATAAAGATAAAATTTAAACAAGGAAACCATCACACTAGAGAGAAGTGAATGCTTAAGAAATAGTGTAGGCAAATTTCGAGAGAAATCTGCTGACGAAGTTAGAATCCTTCGCTGTGGTTACCTGTAATAAGTCTCTTTTAGCTTTGATGGAAATTACAAAATAATTATTTATAAAAAATTTTTTTGGGAAATTTTAGGTTAAATTTGAAATTAAATATTGAAGTTTATAAATTATTTATATTCATTTTGCGAATTTTAAACCTGAGTTGACGTTTTCCAATAATGAAACTTTAACATCTATACGCGGTGTCAATAAGATTTTAGTATCACTTGATCCGCCATTTAAAGAATTCGTTACAACGTGGGTAGTGTTCTAATAATTTATGAAGATTATTTTAAAAAAAATAATGATTAATTATGTCTTTTCCTATTGTTCTAAGATTAAAAGGACAATTTTTAGATTAGTTGATGCAAAATGTTTACATAATAATACCTATGGATGGTTAAATAGTTGGTTTTAAACCACCACGACCCTGGTTTTTGGTAGAAAAAATGAACCAGAAAATACCCAACCAATTACTATCAAATTTATAAGAATTATATAAGATTTCAGAAAATCAAACTAGTATTTTGTGCATGATCTGTTCCAATTTGGTTTTAACATTTCTAATTATCTTAAAATAAATAATTGTTTTGTTTAAAAAAAATTTATTATGGTTGTCTATTGATAAGATCTATTTTTTTTTATTTTTTTTTAAATTAATGGCCAGTAAAAATTCTAATCAAAAACTATCAAAATCATAAGATTTTGGGGAAAGGTATAGTGTTTCTTATAAGGATAGGATAACAATGTTATACCTAATAATAAATTTATATTTTTTTAAAATTTCTATTTCGTCTCATGCGATCGGAGAAGTTTTTTTTTATAGATCCAAATCCAAAATAATTTATTTGGAGTGTTAAAAATTACGATATTTTCTGATTTTATCGTTATCGACATTTTGTAGCTCTCTATATTATTAGTTTTAAGCCAAAAAATATAATTATTACCGAAATGCAAGTCACATTAAAAGAATTCTTTTAAATTAAGGAGTTCGAAAAATGTCTGTCCCACCTTTTTTGATGATGTCACATCAAAATTAGTACCCCCTTAATGTAACGATTTCATTAAAAATTCATTTTAAGACTATATATAATTATTCACAAATATTAATAACGGATAAATGATCATCAAAACTCAAAGGATAACCTTGTTTAACAAATTTTTATTAAGTTTGATGATTAGAATATCGTATAAAGTATCTTTGTCTAATCGAGTTCGTAATGGGGTTACTTAATCGTAGTGCGAAGCATCTTTCCATCGATACTCGCTAGCAAGAATCGGCTTGAACTATTCGCTATTCGCTAGAGGGTATATAATACAGGTCATTGTAATTTTTTTTTGATAGCCAACATTGCAAAATATTTTGATGGGGAAGGGCAATTTTTCGTTATATAATAAGCAATTAATTTTTGTCGTAATATCCCAATAGCGAATTAGGGTTAAAAACATATAAAAATACATTTTGACTCAAAATTAAACTTGAGTCAACTAACTAGAGAAAAGTAATTAAGAAGAATCCAACTCCTGAACCGATCCGAGCCAAGGCCACCTCATCTAGTCGGCTTGAGCCTAAGCCAATATTTACGACTTTATAGGTCAGACCTCGAGAATTATTAATTAAATAAACATGTATTACTAGCATTTTTTTTTGATGATTTATGAATTATAAAATATCTAAAACCGATAAATTCCTATAATAAAATTAGCCCGGTCGAATTCGATGCAAAATATTTAAATTAATATTGAATTGAACTACTCGTCCTCTAGTTTTTAAATTCGATCAAAACTCTAGTTAACTCGAGTTCCTAAGTAAAAATTATCGAATATAGTATAAAAGAGAGAACAATTTTAAAAAAAAAATAAATAATCTTAAAGATATTTATTTCTATACTAATATTGAAAATACTCGTCCTCTATGCATAAAAATATGGTTGAGCAAAAAAAATTCACAATAAAATAGCATATTTAATAAGTTAGTTTGGGTTGGTTCTAGTTCATTTTTTCGACCAAAAATCATGGCAATTAGGCCCAACCAAGCAATCTAAACACACTACCTATAAATTAAGAAATTTTACGAAATGAGGCATCTGCGCAATATAAAAAATTGAATAAAATAATGTTTGAAATGCCATTTTATATCTTAAACAATACATAAATCTCTACTTCAGCATCACTGTCTTGATCAAAATGTTTGGTTTCTTCGTCAAAATTGTTCGATTCACTATCTAAATTCTGAGGCCTTATCGAAACTTTTACAAGGGAATTGTCCTATATATCGGTGTAATAAATAATTTTTATGGCCCAAACACCTTCTCATAATATCCAATCTCATTCAATTCAATATATGTATTAAAATATTAAGAGAAAAAAAAACAATATTATGGCTTCATATCAATCTAAACATTCTATACAAACTATTAGTTAAACTTTGTAATTAAATGTTTATGAACCATAAAAAGGTCGTTCTGAAAAAAAATACTTATCGAATAGCCCCTCCCGTTACATAAAAAGTAGAATTAGAAAAATATATATAAATTAACAGCATCGCGGTCCCCATCATGGGTAGCTGCGTTGGCTTTAACGGGCTCATATTCACAAACACCGGTTTCAGATCGGAAAAGGCTGAGAATTCTGCCCATCAACCCGCTATTTACAGATCGCCCACCTCTGTGTCTCAAACCAACTCGATTTTTGGCGGACTTTTGAGTAAACCGTGGGTCAGAAGAACCGTTATTGTCGTTTATCAAAGAAACATCCGTACTTTTCCGCTTTTTTTCTGACTCGGGCATTACGTCGTCCAAAACGCCGAGTTCTCTGGCGGTAAATATTTTCTCCATGAGCTTCCGGATGCCAATCAGCGCGACTACCTGTGTGTCATATTATTGCTTAAAAATTAGGACATATTTATGAGTATCTACCATAATGGGGAAGCATATGGAGATGGACTTGTACAATTTAATGGCCCAGAGCGCGGCTAGTGATGACAATTGTATGGCTGTAAACATGTGAACGCGATATGTTTTAACGGACCGTAAAAACATGTAGTCGGGTTGATATTTTTGAGGCATGAAGAATATCGATATCCTTTGTACGAACTGGGAAAAATACCGAGTTGGGCAAATATTTAAAAAAAAAAACTGTACTAGAATTGTAAATATAAATACAATTTCAAAAAAAAAATAATATATGAATATAACTTTTGAATACAAATACGTTTAAAAAGCATTTAGCCAGCTTTACGTTTATTTTCAAATATTATACTATATAAAATATCGATTCGATCAATTATTATTGTTTGTTTGGAAATGAAAAATTTACCGAAAACATACATGTCTTAACCGCTTTAAAAAAAACGTTGTTTGGAAAACGGCTAAATCTTAGAATAATTGTTTGTATTTGAATTTATAAAATTACCATGAGATAGCCCTAACACTTACCTAATTGATAAATTTTTTTAAAATTTATTATTTTATTTCTCAAGAGTGTGCCATGTAAAAGTAGATTTTTTGCCACAACCGGGGCTTGTAGATTCGAACGGTTTATTAAGTCTCCTATAGGATAATTAATATTATTATTCCGTTATTTTTAAGGACAATGTTTTATATACCATTCGCGTACAAATTCAGATGACCCCTCTTAATGGCGATAAAAATTTGTAGACTGGTTATATATATTCACATAAGATCATAAGCAAAACGTTAGCGTGTTAGCAACTTATCAACGGACAAATTGGGGTTAAATGGACCAAAAAATGTCTTTTTTTTCCTCTTTACTGATGTTAAATAACTAGTTTTTAATTTAAAACTAAATAAGATCGAATATTGAATCTAATATTTATTAATAGCTAAGTCAATAGTCGATAATTATGGGGATAACATTAAAACTTTTTATTTGTCATTACTATTTTTTTGATAATTTCTTTAAAAATTAGGGCGACTGGATATTTAATTTTTAAAAAAAAAATAGATGGTGCTTTATATAATAGTTTTAAGCTAATAAAAGCAGGGATTCAAAACCAAACTTAAACCAGTATTTTTTTTATCGAATCCAACATATACATATTAATTTGTAACTAAGATCATAAATTTTTTTTGAAATCTTCACGAATTTTGCCTAATTATGATAGATATAAATTTAATTAAATTTTACTTTATCACTAAAAGAATACAAAGCCTGGCTAGCTTGTGAGATTTCTTCAGGAGATAATAATATATGTTCTTCCGGAGAGAGTAGAAGGATTGATCAGCGAGATAATATGAGATTTGATCAAAACTAAAATATCATCTATGAGGAAATTTAAATAAAACTGAAAGTACACAGGGGGCGGGATTATTCCCAGTAATCAAAATAGACTTTTAAAAAAAAATACATCAACCGACATAAAATCAAGTTTCGTTTTTAAATGAGGAGGAAAGTATATTTAAAAATATTAATGGACATGTGACATGTCTATATGATGACAAATGATGGTTAATAATTTATAATTGATACAAATGAAGAAATTCAGCCTAATTTAAATTTCCTCTGGTAGATGATATTTTAGTTTTGCCCCTTAATCCCACCAGTAGAACATACATCATCTCCTCAAGAATTCTCACAAGATAGATAGGCCTTGTAATTCCTTTTATGAAATATTTTTAGGGCCAAATTCGTGAAGATTTCAAAACTTTCACGAACAATAATGCGTAGTGATTGTTTTATTATATTATATATACACTAGTGATCTGCATCGGGCCCTAATTTTTCAAGCCCGGCCCGGCCACAATACTCAGCCCAGCAAAACCCGAAATTGTTTTAAAAAAGTTTTGCCACCCGGCTCGATCTTTCTTAAAAAATAGTGAGCTCGAATAGTCCGAACCCGGTTTTTAAAAAAATATAAACGCCGAACCTACTTTTGCAGAGCTCTAATATACACACTTAAATATTTTAAAGCGATAAAATGATTGACTTTTATCCAGGTATCCGAATCGAAACGAATAACGGTTCGGTTCGAACCTCTAAAAATCGGTTTACAAACCTACAGAATTAAAAGTTCTATATGGAATATTTGATTTTATCGAGTTCTAGAGAATGGTTTAGACTTACCCCGTTATGCCCCTTCATAGTTGTGTCACAATCGGTAATATTAAATTTCGATGTAAATAATTTATATTGGAATTCAATTTATCTATAGGTTTTATCAGCGAAAAATATTGAAAATATTATCAATTAAATTGATAATAATCTTTAAAACAATTCGATGATAAATTAGAATCTTAGCAAATAAAACTAGTAATAACTTTCATACTATTTAATAAGCACCAAATCATGAGGTTCAACTCTGTCCACATACTTTGTGGTTATACAATAAAATATTTATAAGCAATATAAAAAATGACTTTTATCAGATTAAAACTATTATAATATGACCATCTATTATTCTTAAAGTATAAAAATTGCTATATTTTTAAAAATAAATATCGATTTGTTGAATCAATTATTAAATAAAATAATAAACGGATATTAATTTTTTTTTTAAATTAAAAATTAGACATCATATTCATTTCGAAATATTAATTTCAAATTAAAAAAAAAATTAATTTTGATGAATCTGGTTGATTTGACATGAAAATGAACAAAATATGATATTTTTTGAATTTTAAAATGTTAAAATGTTAAAAAATTTTTATATTTTTTTTTTATAATTCTATTAACATTATCATGTGGAATTGATTTAAATCTATCGTAGTTAGCCAAAGAATACTTATTTTATATCATTATATAAATATATCATATTTTTACATAATTTAATTAATACAAATATAAGAATTTACACAACAACGACTAAATCTAATTTAACCTACCAATATGATTAATACTCTCTAAAAATGTATTTAAACATGATTATGATTATTAAACTTTCTGAAATAGGATGAGAGAGTTTTAAATTTCATATAATGCCAATTTTATTATTTAAAAACTCTTCATATTTTTATGCCGCTTTATATTGTTGTGTAAAAACATATTAATTTTTGACTAAAAAAACACATTTTATCATAAATTTTTTTAAATAACTGAAGGTTATATATATTTTTTTGCCTCAAATATACATATTATAAAATGATATTACATAAATTAAATTTGTATTTCTAAACATTTCTGATTTTAAAATAAAATTCGTTAAAGACAAGCCCCTTGAAGGGACTAGCCCTGGTCTTTTCTATTAATTTTCTTCCCCGTTACCAAAATTTATCTCTATAACAACTTTACTATATTTATTTTACTTCTTAGATATTAAGGATTCAATTTTGTTTGAACCTTTTCGCATATAAAATTATTAGAACTATGTAAGAGAAGCATATTTTTAAAATAGTATCACTAAGAAAACAATGAGCCGTATATATAATTAAAATATTTCCAAAATTCTCTTCTGACAAATTATATATATATATATATATATATAAAGAAAGAATAGATTTTATGGTTGAGAACACATATGCTAATTTAGATATCTGCACCTTCAAATAAGCAAATATACAAGAATATCTAAAAAAATATTTACTGATATTTATCAATTAAAAGTTTATTAATAATCTTCAAGAGTTAAGATATCGAAAAGAAACCTATTTGTAAATATTTTTTGGGGGATAGGTTCAAGACAAACTTTTTAACTGTTTTAGGTTCTGAAATAATAACGTTTGATACCCGCGGTTAGGCTTAGGTCTGGATCACAAAAATTTTGTTAACAAAAAATGTAACACTGTTCCAATATTTGACAGGAGTTAGATAAAGAAAGCCCATTTAAAAGATTGAATTTAATTTTAATGAATGGTTTATTCAATTCACAAGGCTAATTATATTAGCTTCATAGGCAGTCTCTCCCCACAAGATTATCCTTCCTAACCTCAATATTTTTTTTTTTAACACCGTCACAAACATATCCTCCAATACTATATTTATTTATTTTCTTAAAATGTTTTTTTTTTATATGTATATAAATATATATACAAATATTAATTATTATATACAAATAAAAATTTATAATGTATTAATGAATGATTCTGTTTAAAATTTTTTAAAATACACGGAATGTTATTTGGCCAATGTCTATATAAATGGAAGACAACGCGATAATAGAATGCGGCCTCATGAATATTTCATAGGGGGGGGGGGAGGCTTCTAAAGGGTTAGAGAAAATATTTTGGACCAGATAAATCTTGGTATTTTCCTCCAAATTATTTTTTTCTCACGAAGACGTGGAATCGATAATTAGTTTTTAATTTAAAATTAAATATTATATATTTTTTTTACTTGAACACCTTTCAAGGAAGAAATCCCCATATATAGGAAAATGCCGTAAAGAACGGGCATAGGTATGTACTATATTCGTAATATATTTTTTTTGTTTAAAATTTGTATAATCCATGGTTTAGCTATCATAAAATTCTTAATAAAAATAGTAATGTTATGTAGCTTAATGTTTAACTTATAACCTATCACTAAAGCTTAAGATCCTGATATTTGGATAATTCAATTTTTATTATCAAGTGGTTAAAGGTCAGATCAATGATATAACTTAAATATTTTTTGAGATAACGAAGATAATTTGTGCACTTAAATTATAAAAATCGTTAAAGATATAGAAAAGAAGGAATTGTGAAGAATCGTCATAGTATTTGGATATTTGATTATCTTAATTTTTTTTACATTTATAAAATATAGGTTTTTCACATATCGTCCATTTTCAAACTTCCGAATCGGAAAAAGAGTTTCCGCCGTTAGGGGATCCATGCAGTTTTACATTAGAATTTAAGATGAAAGACTCTAATAAAGCAACTTCATTCCTAAGAAAAATTCTAAAACATCTTCTATACCAATTTATTTCCAAAAAAAAATCTGCCTCCTAAATTTCATTAAAATAAACAAAAAAAAGTTAAACTTGCAATAATTTAGTCATCGTAACGGATAAGCCAATGAACACGAATATGAGAAATCCGGTAAGTCTTTGTTCCCTGTAAAGGATAGGATACAAAAAATAAAATATACGTAATCGTATTCATATGAGATAAGCATATTTGAATGCCGTGATAACAATTTTAGTTGATTCAGATTAAAATCCCCTTGCTGCTCGGGGGCCTAGAAAAAAAAACGGGCTAAAAATTAATATTTTTATATTCTCGATTAAAATTTTGGGTTCCGGCCCTAAAAATGTATATAAATTCGTCAAAACTTACTTAAAAAATCGAGCCCGACACTAAGTCAAAATTAAATTTTTAAAAACTTTAATTTCAAAGTGAATCGATAAAATCACTGGACAACTCACTAGAAAATAGTCACACCCTCAGCAGGTTCTAATGAGATAATTACAGATATATTTTTTCTAACCAGAACAAGAAGCCGTAAAAATTTAAGAAAAATTAGAGTAAAATCTCGTATCATGTCAATTCAGCGAAACTTTGATCGGAAATGTTGTTTATCGAGAAGTAGAGCGAATGCGATATCGCGAAAACCAATTCCGCGAAACATTTTAATGCGAAGACGATATCGTGAATTGATCTGCGCGAAAAACTTTGGGAGTGAACACATTTTAGCGGAACTTTTATAGCGAAACTTATATCGCGCCTTCATAGCAGCGCGAATTTATTAACGAGAAAGCCATACCGCGAATCCACGCGTATATCGCGAACGCGTTTATTAGAAGAAAACTAACATATTTATTCAATATATATTTATAGGCCTTTTAAATAATTGCCTAAGTAAGCGAGAGTTGTCTTAAATGTGACCTTTATCTGTTGTTGCGAATTAAAAATAACTTCACAATTTCTTCCCGATCTCTCCCACTCGTGCTTCTAATAATTTGTTTCTCCTTTTATAAACCATCTACTAAAACGGATTAAAGTGATAAAATGTATTAAGTACTACAGAATAATTTGAAGTTTCAGAATCAATGTTCGCAAAATCTTGCTTCATTTCACGATTAAAACGTGACGTTATATTTAGCATTTTGTTCAAAACTCGTTTCTTCCTGGGATCGCAAAACTAGTTTAGGCAATAAATGTAAGCGTAAATAGTACATTCTCCTATATTTTCAATTCTATAGCAAGATGCCAATTTTTTCTTATTTTAAACTTTTTTTTAACAATGTCCACAAATTAAATTAAAATATAGGCTTAAAGCACAAACATTACAACAAATTTTCAGATAAAATGCTTTCAGTCACTTATCAATCATAAGGCTTACTAATAATTTTTTTTCCTTTATATTGCCTACCATATTGGGTAGAGCGTTCATAAGTACTAATAGAGCACCAAGCATCGGCATAAGCGTTAGAATTTGCGTCTCCAATTCGGTTAATTTTAAGTAAGATAATATAGATATTACATATTTAAAAAAGATGCAAATCGAAAATGACTAAGATCGTTTAAAAGGTGGGCCAAGTAAATAAGTTTTAGGGATCGAACCCGCCCCCCCCTTCCTCCTAATAAATTCCTAATCTACCGCCATGGTGCAGTTGTTATATAATTTTAAAATTGTTGGTGCAGTTATATAATTATAAAATATTGTTTACAATAAATCAACACCATAAATTTTTTTTTTATTATTGGTATATTTTGGATAGGGCATATATTCTCAAGATTTTGATAAAATAAAGTGATCCAGATTATAAAAATATGTGCATTATTCCGTGAGAGCTTTGAGTGAATGATTCTTTTGCTAAAAAAAAACTTTAATTACGGATTTTGATCTGTATTTTTAGCAAAGATCGTGATTCGAACCTTTTAAAAGGATCGATTAAAATGTCTATCTAAACTGTGATTGAAAAGTTCTAAGGGATGATGTTTATGAAATTAGTGAAAATATAAAGTGGAATATGTTTTTGAAGAATCGATAAACATTATCCTTTTAACGGTAATCAATAAATACACTCCTAGACTTTTAAAATTCTCTTATAACAAATTTTTTTCTTCTATCCTTGAATAATTTTTTTATATAAATTTAATTACTTGACACCAAGGAATTTGGGCCTCTCTCCTGGGGCCGAACATTCTGTTTCCTCCCGGAGGCTGTTGACATGTGTTATGGAGAGTACGGTGGCGGCCACAAACCAAGGAATTCCAAGCAAGGAACATATAGCCACTAATAGGGACACGAGAAGTAGATCTAGATGGTAACCACATCCTTTCTATATATAATTCATCGGGTCATATATTTAAAAAAAATAGTAAGAAGATAATTACAGAATAGATTAAATGGCGAATAAGTTTATGTTTAAAAGAGTACGTTTTTCAAAATATTTCCTCCTTAGCTATAGATTTCCTGTAACCTACCTTATCTCAATAGAAAGCAGCATAATTCTCTTAATTTAAAAAAGATAACAATAGTATAGCACCTTGAGTAAATTTTCTTTCCGGTTAACAATAACAGCTGTAATTTGTTGGTCCATAAAAATGAGGATGGTTGCCAAAAGTGCCGGGAACACTGTAACTAAGGACGTCCACCAAGGATTTTCGCTTAGAGGGTTAATAAACCACCCTTTTCTCAGAGGAGAAGTGGGCTTAAAAAAAATTTTTTAATTTCAAAATATATCAATTTTGGAAAAGTTAAATATTAATTCTTTCTATTTAAAAAATAATGAAATAGATAAATAAATAACTACAAATATCAAGAACTATATCCATAAAAGATCAAAAACTTATAATAAAATACCTATATTCAGTCAATTTAAAGAGAAAGCCAGGATGGATGATATAATACAACGTGTTAAGAAATTACCCTAAAATTGCTAGGAACCAATAACTTAGGTGTAGCCAATCCGTAATAGAAATCTAGTCCGATCATTATTAGTACCGTAAATAGGACGGAGAAATCGCTTATAGTGTACCTAACCTGTTAGGTTGTTATATAATAACGTTTAATTATCGTAAAATCATGATGTTAAGAAATAATAATTAAAATTCAATTTAAATGAAATTATGTTGACATAACAAACAGTGTAATGAAATTATGCCGATATAACCATTAACCTTATTTATATTCTCTACTTTTTACCACATCTCTATCCGGATGATTTACTCGTAGTCACAACTTTTTATACGCTCGGTTTTATATTATAGAAAAATTTAAGGGAATGTTATTTCGTTTTGAATTTCATTTACTTTCATTGAGAAATATGTAGTATTCCGAAAAGATTTAAAAACAAAGCTCAACAAAAAGGTGCCGAGGAAGAGGATGACGGACAAGAAAAAAACGTCGGAAACATGAGGATACCCGTGATCGCCGTCCGTAAAATTAGCAATGGCAATGGAATAATTCGACGTTAAAGTGGATATCTTGTGAAATTTTGGAATTTATTGGTTAAATTTAAATTATATATTTAAAAAAAAAATTAAGTAAATAGGGCTCGGACCTTTCTATCATATACATTAAACCAAAGAAATTCTTACTTTAAAAAAAATATCGAGATGTTTATTTTGTATTTTAAATATAATTCTCAAACTAAAAACCGTGTTACAAATACGAACAAAATCGCAAAAATTTAAATTTTAAGCAAGCATAGATATATTTCCTTTAAATAACAAAGATGATGTGTATTACGTTGGAAGGCGTTAGAAAAGGGTGTCCTGGAGGTAGGGGGTTCCGTCTAATGACGGGATATTCCTTGCTAATATGGTAAATGTTTTTAAAAGCTTGGTACACAAAAATGAGACTTATGAGAGAAGCGAAGAGTTCTTCCGTGAATCGAGTAACGTATTTAACCAGCACGCTAGCATCTGTAGCTACCATTACGAGTAGTATGAGGCAGGTCCATAGGCCTATACAGCAACGGAAGGATAGATAATTTAGGCCTTTATCTCTAAAAAAAAGAATTATATATTAAATTTGTAATTATTTCAGGATAATTCTCTCACATCCCAAACCATCTTTATTCACAAGTAAACAATTAAGATCCGATGGTTTGACTACCATCTCTTGGGCCCTCGCTAGATCTTAAATACGGGACTATACTTGTGTCTCTTCATTTCCCCCCCAAACACTGACAATCAATCCGCTTATCCAGGTTTAAAAAAAAAAATTAAAAAAATATAAGTACTTCAACAATTTTATTTTTCATTTCAATAGTAACATCCACTAACGGCTCGTTTTTTTTAAACATTTATGTTTTTATAAAGTCTTTGGGGGTAAGATTAGACATATCACCAAGGAAGCGAAAGAATTTTATATTTATTAGACGAAAATATAAAATTTTATTAAATATAATTACGGTTCCTTTATGATTGTTAAATCCATAATTAATTGATTTAACATTTATGCTTTTTTTTTTAATTTTCATTTTAATACAGTTTTTAGCAGAGTTGTGTATTCGACCAGCCAATTATGCTTTGGTCGATTGACCAATATTTGACCGGTCAAATTCAAATAAACGTGTTTTTAAGTCAATATATACTTTATTTTGTATATAATGGTAAAATGAAATGAGTCTATGATATTAATTTAATAATATTTTTTTAAATTCATTTGTCATTCAAAAATTGATGTTTCGCTCTCCATGGCAGAGTCTTGTTCTTATTCATTTTCCTTAATATTTTTAATCCATTTTCCTGTTGTCGAGATCTCTAATCGATTTCTGTTACAGTAAAAATATTAACCCAAATCGACCAATTTCTTTCTGAAGAAGTATAACTAAGAATTGTTAAAATGTCACTTCTCTTATAATGGGCATTGTGGGCAAAGCTCATTCCACTAACTTGAGGCCAGAATTTGATATTTCTTTTTTATAAAAGTTACTGCTTATATAACATTATTTGCTATTAAACATGCCACTTTTACCACTGAAATTTTTGATATCACTTGAAATATTTTGTTCATCCACCACCTTGTAAAACGACTAATTTTTGTATTAATATAACATATTTCATTGAATTCTATTGGTTAGATGCTCCCTCCCGATATTGAGGAACCAATAAATAAGAAGAATTGTGATCACGTGCATTTATATCGTTTATTTTATTTATTCAAACACTTTTTTTTCCCAGCTTTTTTTTTTAGAGTATTTGACCAAAATCAAATACTCCTCAGGTCGCTAACCCGGTATTTATAATGTCAAATTTTTTTTAGTCATATAAAATATAATTCGTAAAATAGGTATAAATGAAGGGTTCTTTCTAGAAGATTGAAGAGGATGATCAATACGATGATTATTTTTGGGAATTTTATTTAAACGAGATAATTAGATAGTGCATTGAAAGGTGGAATTCAAAATTTTAATCATAAAATGGTGGCCAGATTTATTGAATTGTTTACCTACGAATATTTCAATTCTAAAAAAAAAAAAAAAAAAAAATAGGGATAGCCTGTGGTAAAAAATAAATTTAAAAATCAAACTGGACCCGGTTAAAAAAACGGAAATGAATTAAATCCAGAAAGACTAGTTTAATCTCCCCAGGCTCTGATGTATATCATATTGTAAGTCTACGGTTAAGCCCGATCTTAACCTTACACAGTGGCGTAGCTAGGAATTTTTCTTAGAGGGGGTCCATACATATAAAATCCTGATAATAAATAAATGCATGAATAATATGTTATTATAATTTAGTAAATTATTTTCAATGGACTTTATAATAATACTACCCAGAATAATTTCAATGGTAATATAATACCCTTCCACAAACATCAAAACCAGAAAAATAAAAATATTAATGGTATTTATTTGATATAAAGTCACTTTTAAATCTTAAATTTGCTCTGGGAGGGGTCTAAACCCGAAAACCACGCTTGTAGCTACGCCACTGACCTTACACTATAATAATGAGTTGGATCCGAAATTCTGGATTGGGGTATGATCGATATGTAACAAGAGGGTTAGAAAAATACGTATTTAATAAAAAAAATATTTTGCAGCTATTTTATACTAATCCCGGTGAGCAAGTGGAATTTAGATAAATAAATACTACTTTGAAAAATAAAACGAAGATAATTTAGAAATCGTTTAAATTAAATTCCTGGTATACCTGCAAAAGGAAAATACGATGGATTCAAATACGAGTATAGGTCCAGTACTGCCCATTATGGTGAGAGGCTGACCAGCAAAGAGTGCCCATGTTATACCACATATGGCCCCAGATAATAAGCTTTCTATCGTAGCCTGATTGTTTTTTTTTTAAAATACAATTAATCTCTGCATGTGGTAATTGTGGTAATGTAGAAATTACACGAATAATTGCATTACAATACATATATATAGATAATATTGATATAATGGAAATACCTGTGTAAATGTATGGTATTATATTATTTATATATTATGAATTAGTATATTCGTTAATTAGATATGTTTTATATATATTGTATATGCATGATAAAATCGGGTGGTAATGTTTAACTGTCTAACATTATTGCTATGTAGAAATATCTATCATAATTATATATCTGGCCATTATTGTTATATGTCATGAATGATCATCGCTGTACGAATAAATGAATGTGTTATGAATTATCCTACGTATAATCCGTTTATTATAGCAATTATATAGGAGGGATGCATACTAGAATCCTGCAGGGCCAATCTTTGGCCCCAAGTCCGAAAAAATATTAATTTTTTAATTTTCTCGTGGTATTAAATGAATAAAAAAAAACTACATCCTGACGCAAGCGCGTAAAGAGCAAATTCGCGTGTTCTCGTAAATATCTTTTTAAACCAATTAAAAAATTTCATCCTACACACCCCGCACCCCCCTCTCTCTCCCCCAAGATGCGTGCAATATATCATTGTAAGGAAAGATTCGAAAGAAAAATTAGTAGAAGTTAGTTTAGTAACCTTTAAAACTAAACGAGCATAAACCCAAAATTATTTTTATAAAAATCTTAAATAGCTAAACGCCTACAAGAAGTGAACCTAGAAATCTCTAATAAAATTCACGGGGAAAAAATTTATCTAATTGTGCTTCCCCCACCCCTCCCACTCCTTTAGCAAAATCCTGGTTACACCTCTATGTCCCGATATATTATACTCCATTATCATTTTTACATCATACTTTGAAATTGGTTATGAATAGTTTGGTTAGATTTCTTGAATGTTTCCATTTTTCATAATAATTAATATAATAAAATAAAATAAACTTAATATCATATGATTGTCCGAGTGATGGTAATAATTTTAAAAATTTTACGCATAATATATTTATAAAATTGTATTAGCGAAAAAAAGGGTTTTTAAATAATTTATTATTAAATTACTAATATTAACGAATAAAAATATTTTTTTACACTTTTTTCCAGTACAAAGGGGGTAAAAACAATGAACACACTTATGAAATTGTATTTTTATGTTAATAGTGTTTTAAATATTATGATAGATATTTTTAATAATATTTTTTTTAAAGTATTAACTGAAGTCGGACTCAAGTCAAAAAAATATAGACATCGGGCCGAACTTAAAAAAATTATAATAAAAATCATGAATCACTTCTTTTATCAAAATAAATTACTAAAATTAGAATTTCTCTTTAATAAGGTGAGATTAGCGATTTTTACTTCATTTAACTTCATAAAAAGGAGTTTAATTTGTATATATATATATATTATATTAAAAATTTTGGGCTGCTTTGGTTTAAAAAGATAAACAACACTAAAGATTCCATAAAACAAAATAATTATCTAAAATAATAACAAAATAAATTAAATGAATACATTATCTTTTATACAATTGCATCAATTATAGTAAAGAAAGATATTAGAGAATAAAATTAAAATAATATATTCCATAATTCCATTTATATAACAGTCGAAAGTTTTATAACATCGGGCGCGTGGCGGGCTTGGGCTGAAAAAAAAAATCTAAGGAATATTGCACAATCCTTGACTATGCGTGTTTACTTATTTTCTTTCAAATTCATTCTGCCTAACATTTGTTAATCTATCATTTTCTTAGATCCTCGATTGATAACAAATGCGAAATTTAGGTTAGTAGAGAGAAAAGATAAGGTTTACATCCTCGTTAAATATAAAGTCAATTTTTTGATGTTGCTAAGACGCGCACTTATTATAACGGAATTAATATGTTTATTCTAGCCATCAGCTAAACAACTAATTTCTAGTTGGGTTAAAACGTAGTTTGGAACCAATAACAGAATAGCAAGATGATGCAGTCTTACAACGATTGCTTATTTTATCAAAATAACAAATAGTCTTAAAAATTAGATGATTATTAACTGGTTAAAGACCACGTTTTGAACAGTTTCGTTCACAATTCCTATAGAGCTTCTTTTTTTTTATAAGAAAGGCATAAAAGATAATTCTCTAATACACTTTAAAAACTCTTAAAAAAAAACAACTAAATTGACAAAACTTAGTCTCCGATTTAAAGGGTCTCCAAAAATAAGGATAGATGTAACGAAGTAGATAAAAAAAAAGAGACTAAATAAGGTTAGGGGGGGGGGGGTCATTCAACGAGGCGTAAGAATACTTTTATGCGTAAACTCTCGATAGGTTATTCTTCGCAAATAACCATGTTTGTTAACCCTTTATTTTCTTTCATTTCATATTATCTCTTCCATTATTTAATTCCTTTATTTATTATATTTGAATCATGAAAAAAATTCTCTTTGTTAGTTAAAATTAATTTAAACCAGATAGAACCATATGTTACGTACCAAATTATGTCCAGTAGCGTCACCTAGGAGGCCGCCGAAGGTCACGATGGGCGCCAAGCAAGCGAAATAGAGGAAAAAGAAGGATGCCAGACATTGCATCGAAAGTGCGTCAGTTATGTCACTCCAAAAGTACCAAGGCAGTTTGCGCTCTATGTCTTGTTTAAGGCCGCCACAGAACCTGTGTGGAAGTTGTTGGTCGTTTAATATATCCATACAAAATATGTGTATTAATATGCGAAGCATTTTAGCTTAAAAGTTATCAGTGTTATTGACCTTTTTAAAAAAAAAGAATTACATTGGTATATTTAAAATAGATTTCAAATTTTAAGGTGATCCTGGCAAGATCTAATGCAGCAGTTTTATCATGAATCGTCAGCTGTTAGGTTAACTATGTAATATTTATATGGGTAGTCCAATAATATTTTGCTCAAATTTTTAGAGCAAATTTGGAAGGTGATATTTATTTTTAAAAAAAGATTGATTACAATCAATGCTAAGAATCCAGGTAAAGGGGCCAAATATTTGAAAGTGAGTTCTTAGAACGCCTTGCTAATGCAAAAATTCTCAATCTCTTTCAAATGAAAAGATGGCAAATTAATTAAGTCACTACGCAAACGCGATAAGATATACAAAATAAAGGGGTTCCACGTCAATTCGGCGTGTAAAATTCGTCGCACAATTCAGCGCACGGCCATTCGGCGAAGCGTCAACAGGCGCGTATCTATTACAGTTGACAATTTATTATAAATTACTTAGTATAAATATATAAGGATAATTAAATAGACGTCATTTTTGAATATTGGTATATTATTAATTATTTCTTCATATTTATTTTTTACAAAAATCTCAATTTTTATTTACTAAATGTGTAATACAGAAAAAAAAAATTAACTAATATTTATACCTATTTCTTTAATGGGCCAATTTTACCACATTATAAGGTATGTTGATAAGTAGCCAATACCATGCAAGCCTGAAGATTTTGTGCAAAGAAGGAAGAAAGAAAAAGAAAGATTTGACCTCTATCTCTAATCCTATATATTATTTTGGCTACAATCTTAATCAACCGTTTTTAAAAATAGACCCCGAAATAGCCCCCTGATAAGTTCTATAATGTTAAATCTTAAATCCCCTTTTCACGGTTTAAAAAATAATATACTCCCCTGATGTCTTATATCATAAAACGATTGTACCCACAATTTTAGCGCTATTACCGAAATAGATGCCTTTACACATTCATTTTCGCCAATAACTGTAAGAGGGTGTTTTTTTTCATATAACCCAAGCGATTTGGAAACGTATACAGAGTGATGGCGAGTTATTAGCACATTATTTAGATAAAGATGAGACAAATGCTCTCTCTTGCATTTGTTCCCGTGGATGATGTAGTTGATGCTTTTTATGGACTTACACAAACACCATCCTATCAAGATAATGAAAGGGTCTTATACAATCTTATAACGTATTATGAAGCGAATTGAATTGGGAAAATTCTTCGTAATGGAGAAAGACAACCACCAAGGTTTCCAATTACCCTATGGAATCGATATGCTGCTACATTGGAGGGAATCCCAAAAACAAATAATGCAGTTGAAGGTAATTTTTTCCAAAATTTGCTATCTTTTTAATCATTATTTACACAATCATTTTTTTATAACTTTGCAATTTTTTTACTATAGGTTGGCATAGAGCATTCTCATCTCTGCTATCATCGCACCATCCCTCTATTTGGAAATTTTTTAGATGCTTACGGTTAGAACAATCGTTAAGCGAAGCAAAAATTGAACAATATATTTCTGGTACACAACCCCCGAGATCAAGAAAGAGGTATCGGGATACGGCTGAAAATATTATATTAATTGTATCTGACTATGTAAATCGCCCGATTAATGATTATTTAAGGGGGATGGCATATAATTTTAATTTACAAATATAATGTTTTTTTTAATAGCATGTTTTGTATAGTATATTTATATTTTCTATATTCATTTTATAATTTGATTTATATAATAGAAAAGATTAGCCTAAGCATAACATATTTTTTTTAAAAGGATTAATAGAAAATTTAAGGAATTTTAATAAATCTAAAAAATGAGTCAGTTTTAATTTGATTTTTTTTTGGATCATGGCTGGGTCTATTTTTAAAAACGGTCGATTCTAGCCAAAATAATATGTAAGATTCGAGATAGAGGTCCAAACCTTTCTTTCTCTTTCTTTCTTCTATGCTTAAATCTCGGCTTACTTGGCTACTAATCTACATACCTTATGTGGTAAATTGGTCAACCAAAGAAATAGGTATAAATATTGGTTGTTTTTTTTTGATATTATTACACATTTAGTAAATAAAATTGAGATTTTTGTAAAAATCAAAATGATTTCTATCTAATCATCCTTATTTTTTTTATACTAAGTAATATATAATAAATTGCAACTGTATTAGATACGCGCCGAATTGACGTGATACCAAATATAGGATATATAGTAAAATATTTGGTGTTTTCATTACTTGCCAGTCTTAACGAGAGTCTTGTCTTCGTGCTCGAGAATCTTGAATTCGTCTTTTTCAGAACCGTTTTTATCGCATTTTTTGCTAATTCGATTCAGCTTAAATAAAAAAAGGGAAATTATCATTTAAGGATATATCTTCACTGAAGTTTTATTAATACATGTTAACAATACTTATTTTAACCGATTTACGTCAAAAAAAATTAAAAAAACTTTAAAAATAACGATTATGATAATTGTCACTTTTATATGGTGCATCTTAATTAAAATTTTAATTTAACATGTTAAAAATACATATTTTACCGTAAAAAAAATCTAATATGTTTAAAGATACCGATTATAATAATTGTCATTTTTCCAAGGAACATCTTCAATACGAATATAAAAATTGTCAGATTAAATTATTATCCTTAAAAAGATCATATACATAAATAAGTTAAATAAAAATATTTTTAAAAAATATTATTTAGAAAACACACCACTTTTAATATATTTAAAAAATAGATAATTTTACAAAAATGATTATAAAAAAACTATAAAAGATTTCACCTAAAAGATTGTTTATTTATAATAAAATTCACAAAAGAATTTCTCAAAAAAGATTTAAGATTTTAAATTTGTTTAAAAATCTTTTTGAACTTCAAAAATTATTTTTGAAGGTTAAAATTTTGGGCGTGTGAAAATCACTAATAAATTGTAACAAAAATAATATTACAATAGTAGCATATCATTTTTTTAATTAAAAAAATATCAAATAAAAGAAATCCATTTTTCATTTCATAATATAATAATATAAATAAAAAATATATATCATATAATATGTTTATTTGTTGAATAAAATATTAACATTAAATATAAATAAAATAAATTATTTTAATAAAAATTAAAAAAAGTGTAACATTTTGATGTTTTTAGAAGGATTGAGAGATTAAAATCGTTGTCAAATAAGAAAGGTTAAAAGATACTAAATCTTTATTAAATCATAAGTTAAAAATATAATCAAACTAAATTAATTTAAAAAAATTAAAATAATAAAAATTAAAATAATAAAAATTAAAATAAAAAAATTAAGTTCGTAACATCATCCTCTTTTTTTTAAGTAAAATATTTCCGATTATATATACTTTTCTATCATATTCATTTACATAATGTTTAAAAGACAAACTGAAATAATCTTGAACTTTATTTAATCTGAATAATAAATCTTTTTTTTATTCATTTTTCTTTAACTAATTTGAATATTACAACACCCTTCCACTTAGATTAGCCCCCACATTCTGCGAAAGACCAATAGTCGTGGTATGTATTCGATTACTTTTTCTCACCGGTAGATTCTGTTTCTTGCCTTCGTCTGGTATTGATTGCATGCTTTTAAACGATTCACGATCCATCTTTTCTCCTGTTAAATTATTTTAATCTTTTGTGTTTCTAAGGTTCTTCTCTTTTAACTAATGATAAGTGCTTTATCTCGGTCAACGATAGGCGATGCTTGATCTGCGATTAACGATTGTTTTCACGAATTCTTGTTTCTAAGATCATCGATTTTGTATCCTATTCTAAAGTTTTGATAAGCAATTGGCGATAATTTGTCAACGATTAACGATTGCATCCTGGTCTTGATTACTTGTTCTACCTAGTCGCTTGTCCAGATATCCACTTTGCCTTATGATCTCTTATACGATATGATTTCTTCTATCTTTTGATCCAAAATAAAAATCCGATCTCTAATTGAGCTCGATTGCGGCATAAATTTTCTAATGACGAAAAGCCGTTTCTCTTTATGAAGATTTTTTGGTTAATCAACAACCTGATATTTTGCTAAATATTATCAACTTAAATAACAGTCAACCGTATATCTTTAATAAAAATTTATAACGAAATTCTTTTAGCTACATCGATCACTTGTACGTATAACGATCTCTTGTGACGCATTCTTTTTAGCTAAACGACTAATTCTCCGAAATACGACCATTAATATTGATACCATTGTTTTATTGCTCTCATTCTTTGTCTTAGTGTCGATAGTCATCTCATACATCCCCTTCCCCCTTTATTTAGAATCTCTTTTCAGAGTTAATTAGACTGACTTTTGATCTTCTAAAGCCTGGATCAATCGCTGCAAGACACCACTGAACCAATATGGTATTGATATTTATATTGCTGAGGCTAGTGGGAGAGTTAATTAGACTGAATTGTTGAAATTGCCCTGTCGCCTCCACCCTCCAACATCATTGTAACATTTTGATGTTTTTAGAAGGATTGAGAGATTAAAATCGTTGTCAAATAAGAAAGGTTAAAAGATACTAAATCTTTATTAAATCATAAGTTAAAAATATAATCAAACTAAATTAATTTAAAAAAATTAAAATAATAAAAATTAAAATAATAAAAATTAAAATAAAAATTAAGTTCGTAACATCATCCTCTTTTTTTTAAGTAAAATATTTCCGATTATATATACTTTTCTATCATATTCATTTACATAATGTTTAAAAGACAAACTGAAATAATCTTGAACTTTATTTAATCTGAATAATAAATCTTTTTTTTATTCATTTTTCTTTAACTAATTTGAATATTACAACAAAAAGTATTAGGCCGCGTTATATTTCGCGAAATAGAATTCGCTAAATTGTCTTCGCGATTTATGTTTCGCGATATTGACTTCGCTATAAAATTTTTTGCGATTATTGATTCACGATAAAAATTTCGCTCTAATGTATTCGCTTTAAAGGTTTCGCGATAAGAGTTTCGCTTATAAAAAATTCGCGATATTTGTTTCGCTATATTGTTTTCGCGGAAAAATATTCGCTAATGTGGATTCGCGATAAAAGTTTTGCTATAAAATTTATTCGCGATAAAAGTTTTTAAGAAGTGTTTCGCGATAAAAGTTTCGCTGAATTGACATGGAACCTTTTTTTAACGCGTCAATTATTAGAGCTTTTGTTTCACTGTTAATATTTTTCCCCTTGTTTTTACCATTTATTTTTTAAAACAAAAAAAAATTTCTTTTTAAAATATTTATTCATTAAATAAAATGAATGACAAAAATCACTGAAATTCTATAACATTTACCTAATTTTTATGTTTAATTATTCATAAATTAAAGATTATAGTCTTAAATAAAATTATAAAATTACTTACTTGATCAAAAGTATAAATGCGTCTTGCATAAATATTAAAATTTTAAAAATAAGAATTTTAAAATGATTATATTTTATCATTTACATATCGCTAAATATTACAGTTCAAGCTTATTTAATTTTAAAAAGGTACATAATAACCAAACGATTAATTTAATTTAGCAATTGTAATTAAATAATTTCATGTAAAAAATTGTCTGCGATCAAAAATGAGAAGAAAAAAAATTGAGAAAAGGTCAAAAAAATAAAGATTAAAAATGACTTAAATAAAGAGATTGAAAAGGTTAGAAATGTATGTAAAAGATTACAATATAAGGAGAAAAAATCATAAAAAGAATATTGTATGTATGATGGAATAAAACCTGGGGTTGGATATTCAAAGGTGGTTGTATTCTTATGGTAGGATCCCACTCTCCTGGAGGAAGGACTATGACTTGGCCTAAAAATTCGTCTACCCCCGCCAAAATATCCTGGATATTCTTGGCCTTGTAAGCCACGTCGTGGAACACCTAGATCGATTTTAAGCACCATTGAATAAAAACATTATTCAAAAACATGACAGTAATTATTATTATATCCCCTTTCTCTCTCTTTCACTCTTTAGCATTGTAAACCTTAATTAACCATTGTTTTACACAACATAATTTAAGAATAACTTCATCCGACATCAAGGTAGCCAGACATCGCCCAATTTCGTGGTACTTGTCAACGTATCCAACGGGACCGATGAGCAAAAATATAAATCTAAATAAGGTGAAGTATAACAAATTTTAAAAAAAATATTTCGCAAAATAAAATGCAATTTTAAACGCGTATATAACTTTTATCGGCAATGCGCGTAATAGGAAAATAAACGCGATTTCGCCAATTTTTATAAAAAACGGATAAATCAAAATTTTAGCCCAAAAATTAACTTTCTTTTAAATTCAGGAAAGTAATATCTTACACAAATAGTCTATAAATTTATAGAGTAGGTATTCTAGGTATGCTAAGAAACATCTCCGATATTAAATTTAAAAAAACTTGCTTCAGTATCTTAAAAAAAACGCATATACTAATTAGTTAGCGTGTCACGTCAAATATTTTTAAGTTTTAAATTAACTAATTTTTTAAATTAAAATAAAGTTTAACTAATGAATTCTTATTTATAAATTCAAATTTCGAATTTTTTTTTGCTATGATAGACCTATTTGGATCTGTGCAATATATTTAAAGAATCATATCATATATGGTGATACGATTGATTAAGCGAATATACAAGATATTGGTAATGAATTGGGTAAAGAAAAACTGATTTATAACAGGCATAACAAAGAATATAGCACGTCTGTAGGAAGGACGGTGGCCTTGGTATGCATAAACAGATTTATATGGAGGAATAGGAGTTTAATCCCGATTAAAACTATTAATATGCGTTTTCCTTAAAATAATGCCTAAAAAAAATTGATTTTAAGGCGTAAAGTAAATGGAAATCAAGGAATTTAGATTCTGTAATGGGTAATATTAATCACATGTAATATTATAACACGACACTGACAATCAAAGCTTTAAAAAAAGGATTAACCCTGTTTTTAATTTATTATATAATATAAAGTAGAGCCATCGGAATAAGATTTAGTAGTGCAGGACTCTAATAAAATTAAATTGAGCTTGGAAATCAAAAAATAAAATTTAGCTTTTTACGTTTCTAAATTTAATTTTTTATGGTCGAATCACTTTCATTAATCCTATTAAGTAAATTAAACTTGCATTCAATTAGTCCCGTCCAAAATTTCATATTTTAATCATACAATTGTCAGTCTAGTTTATTATTGTAATATAATCCTTTACCTTAGAGGCAACTGTAATATGATTAATTGTATTCTCTACCATGATTAATTGATGTATTTAAGATTTGTCAAATATGTATAAGCAGTACTGAATATATTAATGCAGTTTAAGATATAAATTGTTAAATAAGAGTCAAATATGTCGTTGGCGCAGTTTCAAATGGAGAAATCTAATATAAAATCAAAGATGGAATTCATTTTTAAAATCTCCAAAATAGGAGACAACGAATCGTTTTTTATGAGCAAATATTGGATTAGAGGTTTATTCAAAATTATTTACTTTGTGTTTTACCGAAGATGTTAGATGAAATATCATATGATGATATAATTAAACTTACTTTAAAAAATTATTACTCGAAGAAAACTAATTTTATGCTAGATATTATTTTTTTGGAAAATAAGAACAAGAAAAGGGGGGAGAAAGATTACAGAATATTTAAATAAATTAAAGATAAAAACAAATAAGTGTGATTTTAAAGAGATATATATAATGCAGTATTGAGGGAATAAATAAGTGTCGGAAATTACGAATGAAAAATATACCGAAATTAATCAACACAATCGCGACTTCAATGGAGATAACGGAAATGGAAAATTATCTGCAGGAAAGGAGATAAATAAAATCGCGAAAACAGTGACAAGAGAGCGGCACGACAAAGTGAATCCGGGAAAATAATTCCCCGGGAAAAAAAAATCTCCTTTTTTTTTTATAATAATAAAAAAAAAAATTAGAAAATTAATAAAATAGGAGAAAAAAATTCCCTATAAGAATATCGATTCCGGAGAATTATTTTCTAAGAATTATAAAATGGGGATTTTTTTTCCCCGAGGAATTATTTTCCGCTTTCCGCTTACCAATTTGAATGCAATTTACCATAATTGTCGAATAAAAAGGAGATTTAGAGGAAAATATGCGGAAAAAAATCGTGGTAATAAAGAATATGTTCAAACGATTAGATGTTCCAGAAAAGGAGCTAGAAAAGCTTTAAGGGTTTGGGGTTCTTAAGAGGAGTCGCAAAAAGGAATTTGAGGTGGATAGATAAAATATATATTAATTTTTTTTTTAATTTTGACAAAGGATCGGCAGTCTCCATTTTTGAATATAGAAGACGTGTCCCGTTTAAAAATACCGGTAACAAAAAAAGGGATATTATTTTAAAATCTTGTAATAATGTAATGATCTATTTTCTTCTCCGTTTTATGGCGCATTCCATGTTTATTCAGGTAGGCCAGTTTTCCTCAAAGAAAGAAAGGAAAGAAAGAAAGAAAGAAAGAAAGAAAGAAAGAAAGAAAGAAAGAAAGAAAGAAAGAAAGAAAGAAAGAAAGAAAGAAAGAAAGAAAGAAAGAAAGAAAGAAAGAAAGAAAGAAAGAAAGAAAGAAAGAAAGAAAGAAAGAAAGAAAGAAAGCTTTCTTTCAATTTTTAGCGGTCCTGAGCATCAATATTTGTAAGATTCATGCTTTTCGTATCCGTCGCTATCACATTTGTCCAGGTCAGCCTTCCTCTAGGTCTTGATCCTCCTACTTCCATGAAGGTGCATCTTTTGTCACACGTTCTACATGCCCAAACCATCTTAGTCTATTATCGTCGCATTATCAGTCTAATAATTTCTATACCCAATCTTGCTCGCAATTCCTTGCTAGTTTCTCTCTCTCTCTCTCTCTCTCTCTCAGAGATACCCCACACATCCATCCAATCATTCTCATCTCTGTTCTCTAACATCAAACTTCCCCTTTTCCCGTTACATCTATTACGTACCCATTTCGGGCACCTGGTGTATTGGATTGAATTGCTAGCAACTCCTTTCCATCATACACCACAAGGCCACTTACCGGATTCCTCCATCTTTCGATTTTCCCCACCAATCATCACCTTTGTCTTTGCTGCATTCATCTTCGGACCCTTTGCTTCCACAGCCATTTTCCATTTACTAATTTTATCCCTCGATTCTTCCTCACTATTCGCTAGTGTTGTAAGCCGACTCGCGAGTCGGCTTACCTACGTCAAGTTAAGTTTTGAGTCGATAAGTCGACTCATTTTTACGACTCGAGTCATGAACTGGAGTCGTGAACTCAATAAATAGTTTATTAAATTTTATGAGATACTCAATTGATTATAATGGGTTAATCGCGTAAAAGCATTGAAAAAGGGGGAACGAGTGAACGCTCAAAAAAGGGTTAGTTCTTAATAATTTGAAAGAATTATATAATCATTTTAAGGCGAGTAATTGTTTAACTAAACTCAACACCTAAACTATATTCTAATTCGCAGACATTTATTGTGGAGAATATAGTATATCCACGCGAGGATCCTTGGATCGAGGATCAATTAATCGACTAGATTAGAGGATACGTAACACGTGCATATGAAAACGATTGGTGGTTTAGGATTTGTACAAGAAGTGAATGTAATTAAGAGATGAAGTAAAAATTAATTTTCTTCACCCTAAAGGACCAGCAAATTCTTTTGTTAATCCAGCTGCACAGGATATCCTTTTTCATCCCAAAAAATAATATTTTAACAATAGTTAGTCTATCAACGGCTACATCTTTCATGAATATTTATCTATTATAATATCTATAAAATTTATAAAATTTTCGAAATTAAAATTTTTTATAAGAAAAAAATGATTATAACCTCAGCTAAATAATCTCATTTCATGATATTAATGATAGAAAATCTTGCTATTTTATGGTTTAGAAATAGAAAAAAGTTTAAAATAAATAATAATCTTAACAAAACGCGTTATTTTATAAAGGAGCGCCATCTATTTTTGAAAAAATATTTATTATTTTAATTTTTTAAATTCCAATAACTAAAAAACCCATGGTTGTACCAACCATGAAATTTTTTAATGAATAGATATAAGGTTAGAGAATAATAAAATATTAAATTCAAAAAAATTTGGAAAGCGAAACTGAAGTTTTCATGTTTAAAATTTATAACGTAAATAAAAACGGCAACAATATTATTTCAAAAAAATCCTAAATATTTAATAAAAGCCTTTAATAGATTTACAAAATGACATATAACTTATAACTTATAAAATCATTATAAAATCGTATTTTTCGAAAAAAGGCCATTTTTGGTACTTTTGACCATTGATATCCCAGGAACTATGAGTACTAGGAGGCCTAAATTTTGGATTCGATGCTTTCTAACGATATTCTCTCAGTATGCAAAATTTTATCGAAATTAAAAAGGTCGGGCCCAAAAGTTATCGATTTGGTATGGAATTACCCATATACATACCCCAGTTACCTGGTTATTTTTAATATAAATGAAAAAATATATGCAAAAGATTTAAAAAAAAGATATTCCAGGTATCATCGTTAAAGAACAGGACCAATGACATTTTTAGCTGAGACTTAGTGAGGTTTATAGAGAAGACTAATCAGTTAAAACATAGGTTCGATGAATCGATTTAAAGAATAGAGAGGAAGGAAGAGAAGGAGAAGCGATGCAAAATACACCACTAATGAATGAAATTACTCCTATAGATAGCCAAAGACATTAATCCTATTACCAAAGACATTGATTATATACACGACTTGATGACCAAAGACATTGATCCTAAGACTCAATAACATAAAAAACCATCATAAATGAAAAGATTGAAATCTACAGTACGGATCAACCAGTAGTAGAGAACGAAGGTACAAGTAGGCGTTATCCTTAAACGGACAAGAAAACAATTTATCCCGTTCCAAATCGAAAGCCTGAATAGGGGAGAATAGGTGTAATAGAATCCATTAACCTGAAAGGCAATCGATAATATGATTAATCGTATTCAAATATATTGTTAATATGTATGATGAATAATTGATATATTTATATTGATTTGTAAAAGATATATAAACTGAAGTACAAAATATATTATAAAGCAGATAAAAAATATAATAAATTATTCAATAATTAGTCAAATATACCAATTATATTTAATATATCATCGGGTAATCTATTCTTCTTGTCTATTGTTAAAATTTCGATTCGATTTGAAAAATAATTTATGTGATCACTATATTTGTATAGTAATTATGTTTTCAAGCAACGATATAATCTTAAAATAATTTATAAAACATAATGAAAAGTATAGAGTTCACTTAAATTATGAAAATTTGATAAATGTTGCTTTGTACTAAGGAAATGGAGGGCTATAAAAAAAAAACGAAAAAATAAGATGGAATGAAACCTCGAAGGAATAGGTACTTCGGTCGCGTCGGCTAAATAAACCGCGTCTCGCAAACGAACGAAGGCGATTATAGGTTTCTGCAAAAAGGGGGCTTCCCCTATCAAAACGTGAGCGGCCTCAGCCTTTTCAGGCAACTTTTTCATAAAATGGCAATTGCCAACCTTTAATTTTTTTTTTTTTTAGCAAATATAAAAACATAATAATTTTAATTTATATATATTTTTTTTGTATTTAGATTTATCGGCTCAACAAATTTATTAAGCTCACTTCGAAAATTATAATAAAAATTGTATTATCTAACTAGATAAACTAAAAATAATTTAAAAAAAAATTTTTAAATTGATAAAATGGTTAAATTATTAAGAAATGGATCTTTCATGGTATTTAAAGAAGTCTTGGGCAGTATATGAATGAGCTCAGTGGCCCCTACACTTTTTGAGCGAATGAAGCAGAATACCCCCATGAAAAGTACCCCCTTGAAAAGTATCACCCCCCCCTTCGAAAAATGATAATTATGACACCCATAAATTTCAAAAATAATTTTTATTGCATCAATTTTTAATATATAATATAAATAAAATGCAAAAAATATAACTTTATAAATATTTTAAATTAATAATTTAGATAAATTAGAAGAGAAAGCGAAAGAATTTATAATTTCATCAGTATTTAATTGTTTAAATAAAAAATTTTCCATTGATAATATAGTTAAATTATTGAGAAAAGAATCTTTCATGCTACTACGCAGTCTTGTTTTAATTAATTTAATTTTACTCATGACTCTTTCGGCAGTACATGAGGTTGTGGGAATGGTTAATAGATATTTATATAAAATTCTTAAATTAGGGAAAGCAGAAAAATTTAAAAGTAAACGATAAGGTAAAATAAATGATTAGTTTTTCCAATCTGAATCGTAAGTCCCTGAATTATCATTATCATCAGAAGAAGCTAAATAATGTATTGGTAAAAATATTTTAATTAAATAAATTTACAATTCTCAGAATCTGACAAATCTTTAGATTCTTGAACCTCTAGGTCATGAGTATTAATTACATTCCCCATTTTGTCCATCTTATAAATATTTCTAAACTTCAACATTTCTTCGAAAATTTGACTTGAATTTAAATTGTAAAATTCACAGATATCCTCGATATCTTCTTTAATAATTGATTTTTCTGCCATTCCCTTTGGCGTAAAAAATGATGTTTGATGTAAATATTTCATGGAATCATCATTAAATCTTTCGTTAAACTGCATAATAATTAAATCGAGTGCAGCATAAAACACACCTATTTTAAAGCTAAAAAAATTTCTATATTTATTTGATGATGAAAGTATATATACCATACCTCTCCTTTTTGGATTGTACTTTAAAAATCAAAAGGTAGATTTCTAACATCTTGTGCCTTTTAAAAAACATCCAAAAATTCAGTGTTACTATCTATTAGATTAAAAAATAATTAAGACAATAATTTATATTATACTTCTCAAATTAATCAAGCAATCTTTTGCCTATTGAATTTGATTTATTGAAAATCCTATATCCTTCGAAATGGTTTGCAATTTGTACAAATCAACAATATTTTATCCAAAACACAAAGTGATAAGATAAAATCAAATTTTTCTATTCTAAAGACTATAGCACTAGCCATAGTGGAAGTGGCAGGATCTTCAGATCCTTTAAATTTGTTAAAGCTGCCCTCAAGGCATCATAAAGTTGAAAAAATTTACAATAGCTTTATATGAAGATAGCCAGCTTCTTAATAAAAAAACATTTAAAATTTAAATAAATAAGGAACTATTACCGAGTGGTATTCTTGACGCGTAGAAATCGTTGCGATTTTTTCAGATCATTACACTGAAATTTTTTGAGTACCTCATATCTTTTTACACCATTAAAATAGACATAAATCTCATCTAGTATTCCTAGAACATTTCGAAGTTCTTTAATTGATTGGCATAATTGAACAACGATTAAATTTAATCGATGACAATAACACCAAATAAAAGCTGCCTTTGGCGCCTCTGCTCTAATCAAGGCTTGCACACCATTGATTCTTCCACTCATGTTTGAGGCGCCATCATAACTTTGCCCAACTAGATATTCAAGGGGTAAATTCATCGAGCCAAGTTTGGATATTATATTATGCTTTATATCGAGACCTGTGGTATTTCCCGTACAATATATGTCAATCAATCTTTCAACAGGCTTCGGCGTCTCACTATTTTCAACATATCTTACTATCAAAGCTATTGCTTCTGATTTCGAAACATCGTATGTGCCATCAACTATGATTGAAAAGCACCTGTTAAATGTAATCTCATTTTGAATTTTTTATGCCATTTATCTAGACCTTCACATGCCCATTTTGAATTTGCGTTTGGACCATCAAATAAGATACATGTTAAGCAAAAACTTTATACATTTTAATACTATAAGTAATCCAATTTCTAGGAATTTTGCTATTGTCAATATTGGTTAATATTTTTAGGCATATTTTAAAATTGGAAAAATAATTTATGACAAGAAATTTCGGATAACAAATTTACTAAACATCGACCAAAATTTCCGTCAATACATTAAATTAAATATTAAGTGGGGGGGGGGGGTCTTATTGTTACATTCATAAACCAGAAATCACATGATCATGATGGATGTAAAAAAAGTACCCCCACTTAAATTTACTGAAGCAGTTGCTTCGGACCACGCCCGTTGTAGGGGCCCTGAATGAGGTTATTAAGAATTTATCATCTCTTATATTATGCCATGTGCAATTATTAAATAATCATTTGTGATTATTTTGGTTAATATTTTTAGGGCATATTTCGAAATCGGAAAAAAATAATTTTATGACAAGAAATCCACCTAATAAGACCACCCCCCCCCTCCCCATTTATTATTTAATTTAATATGTATACCGAATCACGAGGTCGAGTCCTATATCATAAACGAGAAATCACTTGGTTATGGATGGGTTGAGTAAAACAATAAAAGAATTAAATATTAGAAGCAGTTGCTTGGAGCCTCACCGTTGTAGGTGCCACTGATGCCCGGGTAGGGTTGACTCTCGTTCCCCAAGAAAAAATTCCAGAAAAAAATAACATTTTGAAAAAAAGTAAAGATATATATTTTTTTTTTTTTAAAATTTAAAACTTCTATAAAAACTAAATAGAGCTGAACAGAATGAGATATTTTTTTTTTTATTAAAAAATGATAAAGTATACTTTTAATTTTAATAAAGGTTTTAGAAATAAATAGAATAAATTATCAAAAAAAGTTTTTAAAAAAATTATAGCGTTAAAGTTTTGAAAAATTTTTAAAAAACACCGGCAACTTTTCGGGCGTGAAATCAAAATATCGCCTTTCGTGAGCGGGCGGGTCGGGTCGGGTCGGGTCGAGTCGAAAATTTTTTAGCGGTAAGCTTGAATATTTTCATTTGCCACATTTATTTTTTTACCATTTAATTTATATAAAAACCATTTTTTTCGAGTATTATAAAGCATAAAAGTAATACATATTCAAAATATCTCTAAAAAATAAAAATTTCTGGTGCCAGCCAGTTAAAAAAAAATTATTTTTGTTATAAATATCCGAACCGTACCCGTAACCGAACCGATATAATTATTTTTTGAAGGAGTAAAAAGAACCTTTATAAAAAACTGGTTTAAACCGCTTTAAACCGGTTCAGTTTTTATATTTTAGAACTGGAAATAATTTGAATATCCAGAATCATATAAACGTGCTCTTAATAGTACTGGCGGTTCCCGCAACACAAGTTTCTGTAGAAAGGGCCTTTTTCGGGGGCTAAAATTCGTGTTATCGTCACGAACAAAGAGGAATCTATTTATACTTGAAAATATATTACTTATACATTTAAATAATATATTTAAAAATGAGTTATTTTGAATATATATAATTTCATAGATGCTTGTAATAAAAAATACATTAGAAGACGGTGTTGCTTCGATAAAAAAAAAAATTTCTAACCGTAATGAACCTTTATAAACCGAGGAGAAAGAGTAATTATATTTATTTTATATTTTTTTCAGGGGGATTCTGAATTTTTTTTCGTGGGGATTCGGAATGTGGGGATTCAAGATTTAAATCCCCACGTTTGGGATTCCGAATCCCAATACGACATATATAAACCCTTTTAAAACATTGGGAATATAATTTAAATGTGTTTAAAATGCAAAGCATCCATAGCATTTTTTGGGACTGCATCAACCATCATAGGTTAATTTTATGGACATAGTTTTTCAGCTAATAAAGCATCATAAGATACTTTAACATCTTCATGATAAAAATTTAACAAATATTTGGTAAGTCTTTCGTGGAAGTAATATCTGCAGATTGGTAAGTGCTGCATGATGAATTAAAAACCATTCATTTATTTAGCTTATAAATGTATCTAAGAGAGGAGACATTTGTTTTATAATACTCTTCTACTGAACCTATATTAATGTATTAACGATGAGCTTGCCTCGCTGCAAGTCGAAGGAGACAAATATTAAACACGTATAGCTCTGATTTTGACTCAACAATAACATATAAAATATGAAATTTTTCATCAACATTAGCTCTAATTTCCTTGAGTTCTAATAAAATGCTCTCCGCTATTCTCATCTTCTTAATCAAGTCAATATCATGTTTTTGAAAAGTATTACATAAAATAGTTGTATAATTAAATAATACATTCTAATGAGAAAAAAAATTTGGAATAAGCATTGAATCCAATAATTTTCTTGCTTCTGAGGAAATATTTCTTTCAGGCCATTGTGATATTTCAGTGATAGCAAATAATTGGCTCTTCTAACCCCATAAAAGCTGTTACTGCTTGATGGCGAAGACACTGTCTCGTTGGACAAGCTTGCAATTTCTTTCTCCCTGTTGCACAAGGAATTTCAGAAATAATTATTATTTGACTAGAAATTTGAAAATGTTAGATAAATAAAATTTGAAAATAAAAAGTAAATATCACCCCGGAAAACTTGAAATCGAAATTAAATGATAAAATAACTTAAAATATATCCTGCATCTGCATTTTTTAACTTTGTAGAGGGGATTTGTCCCCCTGCCTCCCTCCCCCCCCCTACTGCTTAGGCGCCTGCTACTAATTATTTAGAATTTTATATCAGTATGCGTAAATTTTTCTTTTATTATTTCTTGATCTTACCCATAAATGGGTGAGATAAAAATTACAAATCAATTTTTAAAAAAAATATCGGGATCGTTTTAAGTGAATACCGACAAATATCGGGTTCAAAAAAATTGGTAGATCGATCCGGTGATGCCCCTACAATGATTAGAAAACTTAATTATATTATAACATTATTATTTTTAAATGAAATAGGAGAGCAAGAAGAGTTGATAGCATCGCATTCTTCCCTCGTATATATTTACCGCGGGCGATATTTTTTTGGAGTCGTTGTCAGATGATTCAAGGTTATCCGTCAATTTGTGAGTGGGAGACAGTGGACCGGGGGAAGTCTTGCTTTTAGGCATAGAAACCTTTTTAATTCGCTTAACCTTAGTTAGCTCTCCGTTCGAAGCGAGCGCCTTGTTTGTGGGGGAAGGTTCTAACTGCGATGGTTGGTTAGAGTAATTGTTTGAAGAAGGGACGTTGCGAGACGTTACGTTGTTAAATTTGGCTGAGTATATTATACATATAATTATATATATAATGTATATATTAGAGAACTGCACGGGCTGTCCGTAGCCCGACCCGAAAATAAATAATAATATTAATATCTTAAATAGTCAGTATAATTTATAATATTAATTATAAAACCATATTATTTAATATTTATCACATTTTAGGATTAAAATGTCAATCATATTAACATGTCATGTCATTATTAATTATTATTTTATAAACCTAACAAAAACTATTTTATCACTAAATTGTGTGTTTCCCGTGAATTATAAGATAAGACATATTTTATGTACTAAGGATAAGTTTTATTTATTATTTATCTAGCCTATACATTGTCTTTTTTAACATTTGTTTCAAAAAATTTCCATATAAAATTTAAGATTGGGATTTGATTCAGGGGAACTTTTTCTATAATTTAAATTTCACTATCATAAATGTTAATCATCCTAGAAATTAAAAAATATTATATAAAATTGGTAATGATATTCTAAGTTACATTTATATATAAAATATAATCTTTACTTATTTCGTTTTGGTATTATTATTTTTTTATCTATCTACCTTAATATGAGTTGTAAATTTTCCAGCTAATTTTGGTTGTCAATATTTCAAAATATGGCAGAAAAAAATTAGGAAATTAATACAAGATTCTCAAAGAAAATAAGATGTATACCCTGATATGTAAAATTTAAAACATGAATATTAAAAAGAATCGGTATCTGTATCTTTTGTCAAGAAAATGAAAAAGATACAAGATTCTTTTCAGAATTAAGGATCTTAGATACAGATATTAGTAACTTATTAAAAATGTCAAAATATACTGAGTACAAGATATAAAGGGATCTTGTATCATGTATCTTAGATACAAGTATTCGCAGTACTGCCCAACTCTGTTTATTTCAATCTAATTGATTAAAGTCATTTTAAATATTTTTTTTAGATTTTAGACACAGCAATATTAAAAAAAGCATCTCAATGGATGCAAAATTAAAAAGAATTGGTGAAAAGATTAAGACAAAAGAATATGAAGTAAGGGAGAATCTTAATGGAAAATCCGATGTATGGAAGAAATTTTCATTTATATATGATGAAAATAAAGAAAAGCTTAATTATGTCATTTGTATTATATGCAAATTTATTTATGTATATAATTCAATAACAACAGGTTAGATATTTATACATAAAATATGATCTTATTAAATTATTTTAGGCACAAATCAACTTAAAAGACATAAATGTGTATATACAAATACAAGTACAACAGCAGAGAGTAAAAATACACAATTAACAATTGATAGTCTTTTTGGTACTGATCCGAAAAAACTCAAAAGTTGTACAAAATTGAAAAAAGAGTGCACAAAGGTGCTTACTATGTTTTGTGGACGTGATTTGAGATCATTTGATACAATTCATGGGGAAGGCTTTGTTGATTGTTGCCAATATTTTGTCAAAAGTATAGCTCTTAAATTCCTAGCTATCCCTGTTTCGTCGGCTAGCAGTGAAAGGGCGTTTTCAGCTGCTGGTAGGGCCTTTGAGGAGAGAAGGACTCGTTTAAAGCCAGATAAACTGGACGCCTCTTTATTTATATATCATAATTATTCACTTTGTGATAATTTTTATAATGATATTGATGAGGTCAATATAATATAATATGTTCATTATATTTTTTATATATTTATTAACTTTTATATCATATCTATATTCGCATAAATGATGCTTATTGTATTATATAATCGTTATAATTTTTAAATTCGCTTGTATATTAATCGTTTTATAATATAATATATATCTTGAATAGATTATGGCCGTCAAATAAACTTTTATTTAAGGTGGCTGAACTGAATAAATACACATAAATTTTTTTTGGGTTATTATAATATTAAAACTTAAATTGCAAAATTTTATTCGGGTCGGGCTCGGGTCGGGCTCGGGTCGGGCTCGGGTCGGGCTCGGGTCGGGCTCGGGTTGCGAAAAAATTACTTTGCAGTTCTCTAGTATATATACACAGAAAAAAATGATAAACTTAAGATAAAAAATCTACCAGGTTGTGAAACAAGGATTTTAATTTCAACTGCGGTATTTTTGGATATATTTTATTTATATCATCACGTAAGAATCGGTTATTTTTATCTCCACTTTTTCCAATTTTACGAGAGAAATTTATATAATTCATTATCTGTGCTCTAAATATGAAGTAGTTCTTTCCTAATTAAATTTTTTTTAATTCAAAGTTTTTTTAACACTTAATTATATAAAAAATAACCATGATATTTTGCTCAAAAGATTTTTTTTATTCTTATAAAATAAGAGATAGACAAACCACCATTTTTAGCAATTAACCTATAAGTTTTTTTAAAAATCTAGGCACGAAAATCCGTTTTACAATCAAAGCTAGAGAATTTTTATATATAGATAGAAATTTTTAGATATAATTGTGGTTACTTTTTTGGTATCGCATTTTTAAAATTGTATTTTATAGTGTTTTAAATATAATGATAAGTGTTATTATTGTTTCTTTCTTTCTTTCTTTCTTTCTTTCTTTCTTTCTTTCTTTCTTTCTTTCTTTCTTTCTTTCTTTCTTTCTTTCTTTCTTTCTTTCTTTCTTTCTTTCTTCTTCTTTCTTTCTTTCTTTCTTTCTTTCTTTCTTTCTTTCTTTCTTTCTTTCTTTCTTTCTTTCTTTCTTTCTTTCTTTCTTTCTTTCTTTCTTTCTTTCTTTCTTTCTTTCTTTCTTTCTTTCTTTCTTTAAAATATAAATAAGTTACTACTTATACGAATTTCCAAAAAAAAAAACGAAGAATGGGAAATATAAAATGAATATTTTGCAGGCTACGGGTCAGGGTATGGCCTAGTTTGCTAGCACATCCTTTTTGCATCATTCCCTTATATATGTTTCTTTTTTTCGATTAATTTTTTTAAAACCGTGCAATCGTCCGGCTCCTATAACGGGTAGCGAAGCTGTGTTAGGAAAATGACTCTTAGAAGCGACGTTCCTAAAATTAGCGTTCTTAGTGTATTGAAAAACGTGGGGTGCTTTGAGTATCCCGCGGACATCGACCTCTATTTCCGGCGTTATTTGATTGGAGGAGAGAAGAGAGCTGATAAGATTATCTTTTTAATATAAGATAGAAGCAATTATTTATTTTGGGTAAGGTGCTTTTAAATCATTGATTTTTAAAAAAATCAAGAAAATCAATTTTCTTTTTTTTAAATTCCAAATATTATAGTTGGATACCATCTCACATTCAAAGATTATTAATAAAAATTATATACTATTTACAGGGTATCTAAGATACAAAATAAATTCGAAAAGATCTTGTATCCAAGGTATAAATTTTAAAATATCTGTATTTTAAACAAAGTACTACTTTTATATTAAAATTAAAAAATGATATTATTTTAAAATTTAAATTAAAAATTTAATCCTAGTTTAGATATTTTGCGATAGGGTAAATGTTATATGACGTTTATTAAACAACTCCCATATTTCAGTAAAATCGTTGTACATACATCATTACCTTAAATATTATGAACCAAGTTATTAGAAGATATAATAACATAACCGGAAAGTGAAACAATGATGCTACACAAGGAAAATACAATTACAAATATAAAATAACCATATTTAAATGTAAAATTTTTTGGAGATGCCCAACACGAACATACCAATACAGATCATTTAAAATTACTGCATTGCAAAGAATGCCACTTATTTATAAGTGACTCCTCTATAGATGCGTCATCTAATTTCGTCAACTATCTTAAAGTGTGTATTACATAATTTTATCAAAACATTTATAATGATATAATATTATATCCTTCATTTCATAGGCGTTGACTTCATTATGGCAGCGGGGTTCTCGTTCCCATTTACATATTTTTATAGGGGGTTGTACCCTATAAAAAATTTGACGAATTATTATGTCTCATCCAAAAAATGAAACAAAGAGGGAAAAAAACTTATTTAAATACTATTATTATTTCTATATTGCATTCGAAATGCTCTTTCGCCTTTAAAAAATTAAATAAATCCGCCAGAAATTTCGTATTTAATTCTGAACTAGGATGGTATAGCTGGAAATAATTGCTCGGCTAACCAACATAATAACTCATTTTAATACTATATTTTTTGGTATTTCTAAGCCCTAAGTTGTCCCGATTAAAAAAAATTTTTTTTAACCCTAAGCTGAATTGCTGTTTCTTTAGTTTTAGTAAATATTTTTTATTTGAGCTCCGGGTTCTTGGTCATAGCCTGTGAATTTTAGGACCAAGCAAACTTAAAAAAACTATGAAAATGAGTATAAAAAAGAAATATGGAAAATATTTAATTATCGTAACACACCACCATGTTGCAAATATGATACCTAGCAAATTAATGTTTTCAAGATCAATTAGAACAAGGACTCAATAAAACCTTTGGAGAATAAAGAGAATAAATTGATTGAATGGCAAAATATCGTCAAATAGAAATATCAAATTAGGTGACAAAGTATGGCATAAAACTTCCAACGAAAACATGCGGGAACAAAGGTGTCAATTATAAAAAGGAAAAGAAGAAAATTTATCATTTCAAATAAATACTAGAAATAAGATAAAAAGACATTATGATTCAGCTAAAAAAAAAAATCATCGAACCTTTATTACAAATGAAATTATTGAAACAAACTCGAAAAATATAAATATTGATAACTTTGAACCGAGCACAATTTTATGTTAGAAGGGGAAAAGGTGATGCACAAGAGTATCAAATTGTTCAAGTTAAAGGTCAAATTATTTAAGTTCAAGATCAAACTATGCAAGTCCTATCAGAAATCAAACTTTACAGAAACTTGAGAATTACATTATGGATATGGAAAAAAAACGACTTACAACGATATAGAGAAATTCAAAAATATAAAAATTAATTAAAACGCTATAAATAAATCGACGGAGGGATAAAACGCAAAACATAAATTTAAAAAATTCTTATAAAACATAAATGCACGAAATATGGTTAAATTGACTTATCTTACATTATTTGCGAATCAAAATTCTTCTCTTCTCTTCTCTTCTCTTCTCTTCTCTTCTCTTCTCTTCTCTTCTCTTCTCTTCTCTTCTCTTCTCTTCTCTTCTCTTCTCTTCTCTTCTCTTCTCTTCTCTTCTCTTCTCTTCTCTTCTCTTCTCTTCTCTTCTCTTCTCTTCTCTTCTCTTCTCTTCTCTTCTCTTCTCTTCTCTTCTCTTCTCTTATTAATTTTGCATCAAGTTAAATATTTTTTATATATTCATAATTTTCGTATAACTAGTTTATTTTTATAATCATTTTCCTTAGCTTAAAATTTTCAGCTCATTCAAACGAAGCACAACACATTTTTATATTTTATTTAACTAGCTTTTATATTTTTTAGATAAGAATTATTCATTGTAAAACTTAAAACTATTCAAAAAATAACTTTCATTTTGTGATATATTTTATCATTTTATTTATTTATTTTTTTTATCATTTTTATAAAATGTATATATAAAGAAATGAATTTTATCAATTATATTCAGTACAAAATTTCATTATTAAAAAAAATGAAAAAATAAAAATAATTCGTCTTTTAACCAAAGATGTGATACCGAACCCTCGTATTTTGACCGTACCAGAATCCGGAACCTTCTTAAAAGTGGAGGATCCAAAGGTTCTAGGTGTCATGAAATCGTAAAATCATTTATTTTATCTTCGCGGTTTTCTTTCAATTTCTTCTTGGACTTCCATTTTATTTAGAGATTGATATCATAAATTATTTTCTAGTGTAGGTGATAATATTTTACGGTGTAAATTTATTCATAGATTTCCTCGCCAATATATATTGCATCAGATTTGCAGCCTATACTCTACAATTGGCTATTAATGATTGCCTAAAAAAAATAATCATTTAACTATCCTTGATAAAGCAAGGTATGTTGCAAAATATTTAAGAACTCCCACAATTGTAAGAATTTTAAAATCAATGAAGTGGGATTGCACAACACCTCAATTTGTATGATGCTAGAATGATTATTAAGTTTGAAAGATTTCTGTAACGATTTTATTATAGGATCATGTGAAATCATTTTGTCGAAAGATGATTGGTGCCAAATAAAGGACCTTACTAGTGTATTAGTTCCTTTAAAAATAATAACATTAAGATTACGATCAGAACAATTATGTTTATCTGATTTTTATGGCATATGGATTAGATGATTAGATTTAGAAAGATTTACTAGTCCTTTTTCATACGAAATATTAGAAGACATGAAATTCGAAAGCAATAATATTTGCAAAATAATTTTATATACGCTTCTATATATTTACTCGATATCAAGTTTTCTTGAGTATTGAGCAATAATATTTGCAAAATAATTTTATATACGCTTCTATATATTTACTCGATATCAAGTTTTCTTGAGTATTGAGCAAAAACAAATGGCTAAAGTTCGTCATAAGGATTAATGACATGCCCAAAATTCCATTATTTACAATATATTGTAGGCTACGACAATAATACCTACTGGGTTGTAGTGATGATAATGATAATGATAGCAACATTGATGATCTTGAAATTTTATTTTTAGATAGAGGAAAAAAAATATTCAACAGATAGAAAGGAGAAAATGTCTATTGCATCTTTAATAGAAGAGAATAAAGGAGGATACATATATTTTAAAATTCTGGGAAGAAAATTAAATATATCCAGAATTATATATATTGTCTAATCGTCATGACTGTACCGGCGACACAAGTAGTACAATAATTTATGAATTATAAAGATAACTATCTATTTTAGGTAACAGTAAAACGTGGATATTCATCTTTGAAATATGTATTGTCTAATTTATGCGGCTCAAAGATGATATTTAGAGCATATTATGATTGTGCGATTGAATAAAACATCTAAAATATAATTTATTTTCATTTTAAAATTTTTTTTATTTGTAAATTATGAATTGTGTATATTAAAGTTTATTACTATAAATGAATGAAAAAAATGTCTTATTTTGAGTCATTTTTTTTGTTCCAGGAACAGAACCCTGAACCCGGACATTTTTAACATTAGTAAAAATGTTGGAAGGTAAATTTAATATTATAGTTTTCTTTCCTTATCTTCTCCTGTCAATTTATTAGAACTATTATCTTGAAGATCTTTGCAAAGAAAAATATTTGAACTTGATAATTTAAAAAGAGTTATTGAAAGCTCAGACATATATGTGCACTACTGCTGATATTTAGTCTTAGTTATAGATGTCAAAAAATATTATTTTTACGAGTGATTAAGATATTATAATATTGATTAAAATAATTTCTATTTTTATAATTTTCCGATGTCCTCGCCATGTCATGTCATCGGTAAGTATTTAATTATTTTTATTTAAAAAAATAATTAAAAAAATTAATTACGACATTTAAAAATATCGAAAAAGATAATAAAAATTAATATTTTATCGTGTTTTGTATGCAGTATTTCTCCAAATCATTCTATTCTAAATTCAACCTCAAATAGTATTCAAGATTCAATTCTAATGGGTCACATAAAATATTAATTACAGTGTTGTGCAGATTCAAGTAAAATTAGAACTAATGAGTGTCACGTGAAATTTTAATAATAATGATTTGAAGTAAATTATATATATATGATATCAATTAGAAAAGACACATCTAATGATGACTTCTTTGGGGGTTCAGTGCATTATTAATTTTTTATATTTTTCCTTTGTTTTTTTTAGATAACAGGCCCTGTCTCTTAACATCTCTCAATGATTGTACAGATGTCGATTTATCTCTCATCTCCAGCGTCTACATGAGCGGGAGGGGTAGGAACAGTTTGCACCCTATTTTTTTGATCGGGGCAGGGGATAGGCTGCTTTAATGGGGGTAGGATAAATTTTTTGGGGGGTTATCTATCAAATTTTGAGATGAAATAGGACAAAATTTATTGCTGTAAAAATTAATACTTTTATTATAGAACTATTATAATACAATTCATCGACCAAATCTATATATTGCAAACAATCATACATATTGTTTTCCGAATAAAACTTTCTGCTATCCTTTTAAACGTTATTTAAAAGGTTTAGAACATTTTCAGCATGCCATAATAATCAATTCATTGTAAATAATGGAGGTTTTAAAAAATTGAATTTATTGTCTAAAAAAATAAATTCTGTATATTCACCAAATATCGATAGTTGGTAGTAGAGATATATTAATTTAAGTTACCCTAGATAAAATTCTCTGAAAAGGGTAATCAATAAAATTAAAAAAGGTGAAAATAATAATAGAAAGACACTGCGGCCGAAGTCGGTAAATTTTTTTATGGGGTAGTCAAAGGTTTCTGAAGGGGGCTTGCATCCAGTGAAAATCCTGTCCTGTCATGTAGACGCTGCTCATCTCCAAACAAAGCAAGTGACAGGTTTAATCAACAATTGACGTTCCAAAAATCGTGAAACCCAACAAATTGTACCAACCATACAAAATATTTTTCTTCTCCCCTTTTTCCTTTCCTCTTTCCCTTTCCTTTAAAATCACGTGATTCATGTAAAATATATGCGCCCAATCACGTCCGCCAAAAATTTTAAGAAGGGCAGTCACGCCTAATAATTTAAACCACCGCCCGCGCCACCCCTTTCTATTAATTAAAAAATATATAACAATATTAATAATCAGTAGATAAATTTATAGCCAACTATGACCAGATCTGTAGAATTAATGTGACGACTATGCGAGAGTTTTAATGAATGACAGATAAATAAAAGATGATGTATAACTTTGAATGTCAAGAGGGCAGGATCCCTCCATGTCCAATATGAGCATCCCGTTGAGGATGCAACTCCTGAGTTCAAGGAGAGAGTGTAAGGCTAGCGTGGCGACCCTGGGCTTGGACCACCGGTGGCTGCCTGGCTCCACGTCCTCTTCAAACTTGACCCATCTGTAGGTTAAAAAATATCCATGTTTGTTCTAAATGATTGGCATTTTAATCACGAAAATTATGATTCATTCAAGGTTATCTAAAGTGAAAAAAAAGTTTTAGATAGTTTAACAGAAAATTTAAGTCCCCCTTGACTAGAATTAAAGTTTTATTTTAATCGTTGTATTGTATATATATGTTATTGACGTAATCAGTTAATACACGTTATTGCCTAAGTCAAGTCGTTTAATATCTAACAGAATTGTTTGATGTAAAGGGGTATTTCTATACATACTAGAATTTTATTTTCACAAACACTTTATAGTAAGGTGAATAGAACAATCATTTGTTCAAAATGTTTTTTTTACATGTTAATAATCTGATTTTGCTATAATTACAATCCAGTATGTATAAAATACCTATTCTATAAAATTTCAGATAATTTTATTTATATACTGGCCGATTACTAGAATTGACTGCAATATACATGTGGTCGATTCCTGACAAATCAACAAAATAGCTCATTTACAACCCGATCCCCTTCAGATTTTTCTGAGAATTTCTATAAGAGTTTCTATATATTTTAATTTTTGAAGACAAATAAAATTTCATCCGCCATCATCGGCTGAGATATGGGCCTCTAAATGTCGACTCCATTTAATTTTAAATATCTTTGGTGGTAATTGAGCTAGAAGCCTCATTTAAATTTCTATGAGCCTAATTGTAGATCTTTAAAGTTACATGTTAAACATTGTTTAAAAAAATTTTAAAAGTGTCAAAAACCGGAAATAGAAAACCGGAAATGGTCTCAAAATCAAATCGGCTTTTTTTTCTCTCAAATTTTTTTTATGTACGGATCAACCACCAGAAACAAAACATTTTTGATAAATTTTTTAATTTAGATTTTAATATCTGATTCGAAAAATACTTCCAGTCTTTATGATATTTGCATTGGATAAAACATTCTATTTCTTGTTGAACAAATTTTTTTGCTATTCTTGCCATGGATTTTAGTCGTAGAAAATTTTACTTGTATTTAAGATCCAAGAAGTTAGTAAAACCGTCAATATTTGAAATTTTTCCATTTCGAGAATGTGTTGTTTCAAATTTATCATCGTAAATAAAAAAAAAATTCAGATAATGAAATTTTATCTTTAATGATTCATTATGGTTAATCATACAAGGAAGTACGTTTCTTAGGGCCTCCGGAACGCATACGTTTATCCGAATCGTGAAAATTTTAGGAGCAAAGTAAATATATTACATATATTAACAATCCCCTACCCCCCCTACCCCCCCCCCTTCAGCTTATTTAATCTTTATTTAAATATACATAGAATAATAAAATATTTAAAAAATTTTTAGATTAAGGTATATTACAAATTAAGGATTTATCAAATATTTATTGCGAATTTTTTATATAATTGAACTAATGATTAAAATGCCACATCTCCTAAACTTGAGCTCGGACCAATTTGAAATTATGCATTTATATTAATTAAGTCTTATATCTATATACAAATAAATTTGAGAGGAAAAAAAAATGCCGATTAGATTTTATGATCAGGTTATAAACATTTAGTTTTTAAACGATATTTAACTTTATATAACTTCCAAGGCCAACCCTTATTCTATATAAAGAAAATTAAGCCGACGTTCCTAGCTCAGAACATTTTAATCAAAATTCCCCATTATTTTGACCTTAGAGGACCGTATCTCAGCCTCTCATTAGTTGGAGGCTAAAAAAATTTATTTTTTTCTTAGTTATAATATACGCGAACTCTAATAAATTTTATAAAATCTGAGGTGGGCCAGGTTGAAATTCACACCATATACTAATAGAAATACCTGGTCAGAGAACAACAATGATATCAAGATTTTATTTCAAACTTAATGATAATGTATGTAATAATTTTATGTTTTCATTGATAAATCATACCCGTAAAAGTTTATTTTTAAAAAAAAATTGAAGATTTATAATTACTCGAATAGCCCTAAATCTTTTATTTTTATTAATACAAATACAAAAAGTGTCTCAATTCTAAGGACACCAGGATGAAAATTCATTGAGAGGACTATCATTATTACTTTCGTTAATAATGTTTAAAAAAAAGTAAAAATTAAACCTGGCGACCTCCTCCCACAAAGGTATACCATTACCGCCTATGGTCGACTGGGCATTGGAAAGATCGTTAGGAGCGCTGAAATTAACGGGAGAAATTGGAAGGGGAGAATTGACGAAACGCAGCTCGTCCATCTGGATAAACAAGCGCTCGAATTCTTGATCCGAGTTAGCCACGCCACCGCCACCCAATATCGAATGGACATGCTCAGCCGGGTCGACTATGCGGGGGTTGCGGCACAATAAATCGCGGTTAAAACGGTAATCGTAATCGTTTTCATCGCTATTACGACGCGTTAAGTAATCGTAATCGGTGTTACGAAAGAGGGCATCGTGAGGAAATCCCTGGTTGATGGTTTTATAACGAGAGGTGGTTTTATTAATGGGAGAGGGTGATCGGCCAAAAAAGTAGGTCTCGAAAAAGGGCGAAGCAAGGGAGGGAAAGGCTCGAGGGTCGGGCGGCATAGGAGGATTTCTCACGTAAGATCCGCTCCCGCCTTCAGAGCGATCACCACAAGAAAGTGTGCGATTAACGCGGATAGTGGTTTTACTAATCTTTCCATGACAAATGGAGTTTATTTTGTCGGAGATAAACGAAGGAAGTAGATGCATAATATATATATATATGAATTTCTTTTTTCTTAAAAAAAAGGTCTTCTGGGTGAAGATTAAAACAGGAAAATAAATATGAAACGATGTAATAAAAAGAAGGTCCCTTCAGAGATCGTTTTTTTTAATTTGAGATATATATAGGCGCTTTGATGCCATCATTTTAAAATCAAATGTTAGAGGTGAATCAATATTTTAATTTTTTTTAATTTCAAATGTTAAAGCATTCGGAATAGTCATTAATAAATTGAGATAATGTATGGGATAATGAGATATTTAATTGACCCTCTTGTGAATTAAGAATAATACGGCAAGCCCCAGGCCAGCAGAACATGGACCAAATTAGAATTAGAATTCTTGCGCATATTCGATATATAATATTATTATAGAGCAAACTATTTTTTTTTATATGTTGTATAAGAAATAAGGTTTCTCAATTTTAATAATTAACATAATTCGTAAAAAAAACTGCAAATATTATATAAAACAAAATATAATTTTTAGACAAAAATACTATTTTGACAAACAATCATCAAAAATAATTATACGAGATGTTTAATGATATTAATATTTTAAAAAAATTTAATTTTGTTTTGCTTATTGGAAAGATTAAAAGAAATCATTTCTTAATTTATTAGTGTCTTTTTTTTTATGTTTAAAATTTTTTTGGCATGGTACTTATAAGGTAGAGTTTATATAATCAAAATCGATGTAATTACTGAAAATAGATTTACAAGTAACCTTGAAAATTTCTTTTTAAATAGAGTAGTAAACTATTTAGGAAAGATAAACTCTAGTATCGGCTTGCAACATCAACAATCAATATTTTTATTTAAAAAAATGATTAATAAAAGGATAAAAATTTTAAAAAATCAGATGGCAAAGTTTGGAAAAATTATTTGCTATAACCGACTTCTTCGGCAAACAGTGAATAAACTTTTTCAAATGCCAACCGTATTTTTGGGAAAAAAAACGTATATCTTTTCTAAATTCTGATACACGAATTCTTAATTTATATAACGATTAGAAATTGGTTTAAAATTAGTTTCATTTTAATTCCCTAAATGTTCCATTTTATAAGAAAAAATAAATAAATACCCGATGATTGACAAATATTATAAATCAATGCATAACAATGAATATTTTCAGTTTTAGGCTTATATTTTCTAATGGGATTTATAGTAAAGTCGAGTGGCGTATCTCACCGCTTTTTACCATCGAGCTATAGGAGTGGCTAAAAATAATCGATTTTGTAGGGTTGGGCTATTGGGGTATAATAAAAATAAATAAAGGGCGCTAGTGAAGTAATTCGCTAATAGGCGAAGTCAAATTTCGCCAGCTATAACCTTTTAAAGTGATGTTATATATTAATGGCTCTTTACTATGGGATAGCGTCTGGTGGATACCTAATAATTGAAATTAGTTTATTCATCAATTATTTTCAATTAGCAATGTTTGACAATAATGATACGCAATTTATGCAAAATATATAATAATCCAACGATATAAAAACGGAGGCATAGTTCAGATCGAAAGAACGTTAATAAAATAAGTAATAAATTTAACGAAATTACTCTCTAAAATATATTCGCATTTTTACCTCCATTTTCTATGGTATGTATTTGAATATATTATTTTTTTTAAAAAAACGATATCGTATAAATTTTAAAAATAATTAGCCTCAAGTCGCGAAACGCACCTTAGTCCCGAGTTTATAAATGAAATTTTAGATATTTATTTTTTTGGCCAGAGTTGATAAAAGATGAGTGATCGAAGTGACCTTTCCTAAAATTTTTTGAGTTATCATTTGTAATAAAATATAGTCTTTTATACTTATAATTCGTTAATAATCAACGCAAAAATTTCCCGAATATTTTAGATATTTAAGTTAAGGTTTTTTGTATTGTTTGCCATATTAATGGATATCCAAAAATGTTTTTTCCATTGCCATGTTTCAAATAATCTGGGCTCTTATGTGAGGGAGGTCCTCTGCACATACTATCAAACTTCATAAATATTCGTCCCAATGATGTATATATAATGGTAGATTAGGGATTCATTAATAATGCGCAAACGCGTAGGAGTCAGTTTAGGGCCATTTTGTGGCTTGTAGGTAGGAAATATGAGTAACCAAATGGTGAGAAAGTGCCCACCCTATTAAAAAATTTGTAAAAGCAAAGGAGAAGAGGAAGGAAAACAATATCAATCATGGGATATGAAAAACACAGGAGTTTATGGCCAAGTAAAATAATAGAAAACAGTATGGTAATTCAGCAGTTAGATGGCTACGAAATGGCTGTCTTAGGAAAGGCTATATTTGAAGATCTTGTTAAAGGATCCAAACAGTTTCTCAATTTTGATATTTGATAAGTAAGTAGAAATAATTATGTAGTGTGGATGGCAGAGAAAAAAAAACTTAGAGAAATCGCATGAAAGGGTTGATTGTAAGAGTAATGATAATAATATAGTTGAATCCTATGGAAGGGTGTATTGCAAAAATAATAACGCAAATAATTCTGTTTGGCAGATGTCGCTCAAATACATCGAATAGATAAATGAATATAAATGCAATGGATTGAATAAAATAGGCCGAATTGGAAATTAAAAGAAAATTCTAGGGAAATTATAGATATATTCAATATCATAATGGTAATAAATGTAATTTAGGATAAAATAAAAGGCGAAATTGGAAATTGAAGGGAAATCTTTAACGAATATATATATATAAGTAAAATTCAAATGAGAAATCACGTGATTATTTTGGATTTTTTTGATACAAGAAATATGCAATTTTATAAGAAACATATGGTTAAAATTTGGAAAAATATACAATTAAAATAAGGCTATAATGGGCACCGTCGTATCTTCCTCCAGGATTACATATCCCCCAAGTATCCTACAAAATTTGACAACATTTTGTCGTAATATAACACGTGCATATTCCTATCCGGCGTTAAATAAATAGCGGTCATCGCTAAACAAGGAATCGAGCGGGTCCATATTTCACCGTCTTGTTGCGAAACTCAAGCCTTAATTTTAACACCCAACCAAGTCGGTCTTGGTATCGATGGGTGCTCGCGAAACAGTCACAAACACTACTCGTATACATCTCCAAAGAAATCCAAACAAAATCCTCGTCGAAACTGAATTTTTCTAATGATTCCAATTCCATTCGCCGCTCTTATTTGCTTTGCCAAAAAGTGATTGGTTGATTTGAGGTTAGTTATATTATTTTGGAAATAAATTTATAAATATTTAACGAATTAAAACCTAAAATTCTGTATGTTTTCGTATAAAATTTAAGAATCGTAAAAACAATCATTCTATAGTAAGTTTATTTTAAAGTTGAAAACAATTTATCCTACGATTGAAAACTTTAATTACCCAAATCGGCTTAGTGGCCGAGTTTCGAAACGGTCGTACGCATCAGAAGTAGCCCTACTTTTACGTCTCCGTCTTCGCGAAATCTTGCTAGCCTCGTTAGCTGATACAGGGGGCTGGAGGACTGGCAGATGAAGGAGCGGAGTTCTTGTCGTGCTCACGTTTACCGCGTTGTTTTCGACGCGGAGCGACGGCCCATCCTAGGTCTACGTAGTAGTAATGACCAGCTCAATGACCTGGTAAAATATTTATCATGTTGTATATTTTTTTTATATAAAAATAAACTATATTTTGAATTTTATTATAGAATAGGGAACCGGTGTCAGAACATTTCATAATAAACGATCATTTTAGGTAGGATTTTTCGATGTCCTTAAATTGGATACTCATCTTGTGCGAATAAAGTTAAATTTATATTAGATAAAATGATATGCAATTTATTATTTATTCAAATAATCTCCGAAAAAATTATTTTTACTTTGTTATATTTTAAAATATATAATTGATAATAATGAAATTATTTTCACAAGGGCTGCGCTTTTACTCAAGCATCCCGCCCGGAAAGGGACTGTAGCCGGTGGAGAAGAGGAGGCTTGCAGTCAGAAAGATGTGAGATACTTTGATAGGAAAACGCGGTTGATGATGATGGGGGGAAAAAGACAAGTATTATTTAAAATTTATAGAGTAGGGTAAAATTTTGTCCTTCGCAAAGGAAAGAAAAGACAATTTGACCAAATAAAGATGTAGGTCGAGGCAGTTATTATAATTGAACACGCTATTAATTGACAGAAATTTGAGTAACGATAAAAAAAAATATTGCGACTTCATATACAAAAGCGATAAAAACGCAAAAAAAACGAATATTTTTTGTAACTCTTATCTTATTCGAGTAAATTGATTACTATTATTTTTATATTATAAAAAACGAACGCGTTTAGTGAAGGTTCGTTTTTTAAAAAAACAAATGATGAACGGTGTTTTTTATTTTTGACAAACTTTGAAATGTGAACACTTTCCTATTTTTGACAAATGCACTTGTTTGTTTTTTACGTTTTTTTTCAATTTTAGAATTTTTATTTTTATTTTTATTGATTTGAAAATAAAAAATATTAATTTAATATTAGTAATCCTTTATAAAAAAATAAAGGATTATTTTTTAAACAGCCGTTTCCTTTGCCACATTTAAATTTTTAACCAACCAGTACTTCTGTCCAATAGAAGATATAATAATTCGAATTATTATTTATAAATTAGCGGAAGCATGGATGTTGTTATTTCATCATCCGATTATGAATTCATAGCCCGAATATAATAAATAGCAGTAATATCATATATTCAATAAACTAATTCAATCCTACCAAGCAAATGTAAACGTGTTCAAAAAGCATAATATCGTTTCAAAATCTTCAAGTTATAATTAAAAGAGATACTTGATTGTACAATTTATTATTATATATAATATATATAACTATAAGTGTCCTATTAATAATTTATCTTAGATTGTTGTAATTCATAGGTTATTTATTATAATAGACACATATAAAGTAATAATCATTAAATAATTATAAAATATACATAGATATGAAATAGTTCATAGCTTTTAGAATTTATTTATTTTAGTGAGATTACCTGAAATGTGCTTTTATCAAGGGTTTTGTATTTTAATAGTTCAACACAATTTAAAGTATTCTAAATTTATATATTTTATAAATAATTAAATTTTATATGATATATAAAAATTTTTATATATATTATTATCACTTAAAACTATCAATTTAAAATATGGGTGTTAAAAAATATATGGTATTTATTTCGTATCACGTCAATACCGCGAAACTTTTTACAGGATGCTTTATCGCGAAAACATTTTATAGCGAACGCATTACCGCGAAAACAGTATCGCGAATGTATTATAGCGAAAACATTATCGCGAATGCATTAAAGCGAATGTGATCGCGAACGCATCATAGCGAATGTATTAGCGCGAATGCAGATGCATTAATGCGATGCATTATCATGTACGCAATGTATGCCATGGTGATTCAACTTTAACAAATGGTTGATATAATTAATAAAAGTATTA